GGCGGATCGGCTTTTATCGGACAAACAGTTCCATTCATTTACACTAACTGATACAAATGTCCTCTGATAAAATTGAGTTTTGCATCGAGGGATACGTAATAACAACATGTTGGTGCTTCGTGTTACACGTGTAGAGACATTGTCATTTATTACAAATTTACTACTTAACTGGGATGGTGCTACCCCACTTACACATTTATACACCATGCATGATATCGACTTGTTAAACAGTTCTTTTAGAGTATGCCAGGCTAGTATTCGAAAAACTGTTTCCGATGAGGTTTCCCAAGTATATCCACTTACAATATATGCTGCGCGCTTGTGTAGCGTGTTTAATATTTTGTAGTTAGATTCGGATGAAGATGACCTGACGGTTCTATCTGGACCAGCCCTTATGGGTCCCAGATGAGAATGAGCTAGGCGTACACATATGGGTAGAATATGAATATGCCCATATGGGTATAACACATGGGCAAAATCTGGGTTAACCCACATGGGATATATCTGGGTTAACCAATATGGGTACCAGATAGGATTAAGCTGGGCATACCCATTTGGGCCCAGTTTGGTGTGGGTACCATCTGGGTCCCATCTGCCTTATATGGGTTTACCCATATGGGTCCCATATGCTTCTTGGGTGCAGATGCCTTAGGGCCCCAGATGGATTTCCATATGGGGCCCATGTTTCAGAGAATATGGGACCCATGTGGGTCCCACATGGGCTTACTACCTGGGTTATTATCCTCTCTGTCTCTCATTATCTCTCTCTCTCTCACTCTCTACTTCTTTTGTGTACTTTTGCGCTTCGCGCTTAAAATTAGCTCGTTGCTTTTTAATGAAGCGGCTTTGCATTTGGCGCACTGCATTTCTATGATGCTGTTGATTGAATAAATTGAATAAATTCATTAATTCCTGATGAAGCCGTATGAGTGAGAATTCAATTTATTCTTGTATCATATACGGTTGTCTCATTTACTTCGTTTTCTATTTATATTATGAAAATGAGATAGCAAAATGTGTATATTGATGGTCATCTTGCGAGTTATAACCATTAAACAACTCTCATCGGGCCCTCATCATTAATTTTTCTCTTCATTTTTTAAAATGTTTATGGTGAATTATTGGGGGGGGTGATTGTATAGGCACCCCCCCCCCCACACACACACCTGCAATATTGGGGGGGGATATATCCCCCCTCCCGGGATTGACACCCACGGCAGTGACGAAAACGATGGATAAGGGAATAAGGAGGAAGGGTGCACATGACACTGTGAACTGCAAGCGTATTGGGGATGATCATCCTTTCATTTTTTTATCGGCATCTAGCATAATATTTATTTCAAATTTTATTTAAAAATGTTCTGTATGCCCATGCCTTGAGCCATAATGCATGGTCCTACAAAAGATTTTTTTATGTTGGGGATCGGGGTAAAATTCAATGAATTATTGAAAATGTATTGCATTTTTTTTCTTTCAATTTGTGGGAGCTGCCCCCTACCCTAGTCCAGGCTGCGTACAGTCATGGTTCAGTGGCAAAGCAATGGCCTCGCAACTGTGAGGCCCCAGGATCAAAAACGTGTCGATGTACCATATTAGTGCCCTTTTGTGGGGCATTAATCCTCATTACTGTCATTTATGACTTAAGGGCGTAGGTCCCCTAGTTGATAAGCATAGTAGCATACACATGCTTTAGCAGTCACGCAAAACAAACACTGGCAAATTATTATTCAATGAAATCTGAGAATGTATACTATTATCTAGATCTATTTGGAATAAATCATTGTCAAAATAATTCCAAAAATTGGTGTAAAAAAAAAATTCCAACTATATGAGCGACAGTGTATTATCATTATTATTATTATTATCATTATTAATATTATTATCATTATTATTATTATTATCATTATTCTTATTATTATCATTATTGTTATTATTATCATTATTATTAATTTTTTTGTTAATCCAGAAAAGCCTTATCAGCAAGAATGCTGTTGTTTCCTAGGACCCTATATAATTATTATCACCTCAGCAATTGCAGATTGAAGTACCCGAGAAAAATCTTACAGTAGTGAGCACTATTTTTTTTTCCTTTTTTTTTTGCCTCCGAAATTTGAAAATCGCGCCGGCCGATATTTCGCTCTACACCCCCCCCCCTTCCCTTGAGCAACAAAAAAAAAGGCAAATTTCTGGTCACAACTTTTTTTTCTTTTTGTGGGGGGGGGGAGCTGGGGGCAACATTTTTCAAAGTGGGGAGGGGGGTCTAAAGTATTAACGATCAGGTAGAGCAAAGCGAGCGAAGCAAGTGGAGCGTAAATTGGCTTGGGGTCCAGGGGCGGAGCCCGATGAAACTCAAGGGTTTTAAGCATTTAATAAGGGTTAGATGGGCATCCAGGGGCAGAGCCCCCGGAAGCTCAGGGGTTTCAGACATTAAATTAAGGTCAGATGAAGTATCAAGTATCAAGTATCAAGTATCAAGTTTATTTGTCTTCCAGAAAACACATGTGACAAAATAAAATAGAGTATAACCATAACAGTACAATGTAGAATAAAGGAAGACGAGGAGACCTTGGTTGAAGCACAGCTTGTTAAGTTAAGGCCCCCTCATATGATGTGACAAAGATAACTGATTCATGAATACAACAACAAATATGGAATATATAAAATTATTTACAAAATACTCTCAGAGAACAACTACCCAACGATGCAGCGACCACAGCGCACATCCCCATCACACCGCGTGAGCTCACAAACTCACCGTGTGTGTGAAAATATGTATTATAATTATGTGCAAAAAATCAACCCACCCATTCGAGGGCGATCTAATATGGACATCAATGAGTTATTGCCCTCTGAGTGCAGAGGTTAAGTAGGAATATATGGTATATGTACAGATGGGAAAGAAGAAGAAAAAAGAAAAAGGATCAAGGGGATTATGTCAAAGTCAAGAATTAACGAAAAAAAGATCAAGAGTAGAGTTAAATATGCTACAGTACACAAAAAATAAAGCTTGATAACACATTCATGTGTCATCGACATACTTGTGAAGAAAATATGACTTAAGTCTATGTTTAAAAACTGAGATACTTGAAGCATTTGTTATAGTAGTATCAAGTGAATTCCAGAACCTGGGGCCAGTGGACATTAGTGTATTCAGAGTGAAGGTTGTCCTTACATACACTGTTGGTCATAAAGGTGGAATAATTATTTTTACCCGTATTTATTGAAAGATTTTGACAATGATTTATTCCCAATAGATCTAGATAATAGTATACATTCTCAGATTTTATTGAATGACAATTGGGGGTGTTTGTTTTGCGTGACTGCTAAAGCATGTGTGTGCTACTATGCTAATCAACTAAGGGACCTACGTGTTGAAGTCATAACTGACAGTTATGGGGATTAATGCCTCATAAAAGGGCACTAATATAGCACATCGACACGGTTTTGATCCTGGGGCTCACAGTAACGAGGCCATTGCTTAGCCAATGAATCATGACTGTACGCAGCGGGCGCTAGGGTACGTCGAGGCCTCCACATAAACAAAAAAACAAAGAAAATGCAATAAATTTTCAATAATTCATTGCATTTCCCCCCAGTCCCCAACAGGAAATATACCTCGGTAGGGCCATGCTTTATGGTCCAAGGCATGCCCATATAGAAGTTTTTTTTTTTATTGGGGGTCGGGGCAAAATGCAATGGATTATTGAAAATTTATTGCATTTTCTTTGTTTTTGTTTTTTTGTGGGGGCGTTGACGTACCCTAGCGCCCGCTGCGTACGGTCATGATTCATTGGCTACAAGTTTTGGGGGGCTAGAGTCAATTCCATTTAAGGACACATATTGCTTTCTATCAGTAATATAACTTCTAAACCAATTCAAGGCGACTCCCCTGACACCATAATGACATAATTTACTTAAGAGAATTTCATGGTCTACAGTATCAAAGGCCTTGGAAAAGTCTAAAAATGTACCGATGGTGTGTAAGCGACTATCTAAGGCAGAAGCAAGTTTATCTATAAGGTGTAAAATTGCATGCGTTGTTGTATGCTTCTCCCGAAAACCAAACTGATAATTACTGAAGACACATGTTTTGTTTAAAAATGTTATAGTTCTTACATAAATCATTTTTTTCAGAATTTTTGAAAAACAGGTTAACAAAGAAATCGGACGATAATTTGTTAGTAATTGAGAGTCACCTTTTTTAAAACTTGGTACAGCTTTTGCGATCTTCATGTTTATCGGTACAACTCCGCTTGACATAGACAAATTAAAAACATGAACTAGTGGTTAAAGGATACCGACAATAACTTGCTTAATAAGTTCGTTCCCAATATGATCATACCCAGGACTTTTCTTGTTCTTGAGGGCTCTAACAATACCAAGCAATTCTTCGTCATTTGTGGGCACCAGAAATAAACTTTGCAATTTTTTTAAAAATATATTATTCATTGCGGATGTAGTATCGAACATAATATCGCTAGTTATATTCGGTATGTAATCTTTGTCAGGCGCGTACGCAGGGGGGGGGGGGGGGGTTGGGGTTTGAACCCCCCATTGGTATTTTTTATGTGTGTATTTTGGAAGAAACCCCCCCCCCCCCTTTGGTTGGTTTTTTTTTTTTTATTAAAAAAAAAATATAAAAAAATTATGCCAATGGCTGACCTAAAAAAGGTGACCTTACCCCCCCCCCCCCCACCAACGAAGAAAATGCCAAATTTTCAAATTTCGAGACCCCCCCCCCCCCCCAAAAAAAAAAAAGGTGTCCTCTTACCCCCCCCCCCCCCCCCCCCCGCTTATTCAGCGGCTGGCTGAGTCGTTGCGAAATTTTCAGCCCGATTTCAAAAATTTTAACCCCCCCCCCCTTTCAAAAAATCCTGCGTACGCCAACGATCTTTGTTTGTATCAATCTTTATACTTTTTTTAACACCTAATTTACTTTCAATGACGCGGCATAAATGAAAAATAAAGTATCCTAATATTGCCTCGTTCTCTGGTTACAGCGATGGAGCCATGACCTTGCAGGTGTTGCGCAGAGGGTGGCTAACCGATGCGACTTCGGCTTTAACTTCCGAAGACTGGTAACAAGATTTAGTAGTGTAGGCCAGAACATCGCCCGGGTGTACGCCGGCACTCTTGATTCTATAATGGATTCGTGGAATAACGAGAAGGCTGATTATGACTTCGAAACCAACACCTGTTCCGCATTCTGTGCCCACTACACTCAGGTAAGTTTCAAAGCTCAAAGCCTTTTTTAGCCATTGACAATACATACAATTAACAACTAATTTATATATAATCATACCCTTACTAAAGTTAGGTCATTTTTAAGAATGTGATTTTTTTTCTCCTGATTTATGTTTCTTTAAAATGTGACACATTAATTACAGCTAAAAGTATTCAACAAAGGCCCTAATTCAACCAGTCCTCCTTTTATTCTTGAGTCACGAAAAATACACAAAACATTAAATTGACCAGGGGTTTGAAATTGAATAATTTAACTGTATGTTGGTAGCATCCTTTAAAAAAAAAGCTTACGACGACGACGACGATGATGGAAATGATGATGATTATGATCATAATTATTATTATTGTTATCAACATCATTAATTTTTATTATCATTATTATCATCATCATGTTTATTATTTTATATAAATTATTATCATTTCAATTATTGTTATTATCATTATTATAAGTAGTAGACCAAGTAGTAGTAATCGTAGTAGTTGTTGTTGTTATTGTTGTCTTTGTTTTATTTTCATTACCATTTTTTTCATTTTGGTATAGATGGTGTGGGCTACAACCTCTTTCATTGGATGTGGCAGGGCTGCATGTCCACCGCATTCTAACACGTACATCATCTGTAATTACGGACCCGGGTAATTCGTTGTCATCATTGCATGGTCATTGTTCCCATTTTGCTCGGGATAGTTACATACACACATACACGCACACACACACATATGAATTCAAGTACGCAATAAATGATGAAGAGAGAGAACCGTTTTCTATCAAGCTGCCACTGATCTTGCCCATGCATCTTAATATCACGACCGTCAATTCATGAGCTCGATGATTCATTAGGCTTGACTGTGTTTATCTGTGATCTCAACTCTATTGTTTTGTTTCTTTGCATCTAATTGATATAGCATTCCTATGAATTTTCCAGGTACTTCTTTAACCTCTTTTTCTACTTGGTTGGATATTTAACCAGTGAGTAAAACGACCAATCTGATCTCTTCACATGTGAATGATGTGAGTCATAATGAATTTATGTTAAACAGTCTGTAGACCTCTATATGTATTATGTACGCTAGAGAAAATCATTATTTTTCTTAGGTTGATTCTGGGCCCCAGAAGCAACCCACGTTTGTTTTTTTTGTTGTTACTTGTTAGTTTTTTTCCTCTGTAAATGAGTCTTTTTTCCTTACTCATTTTGAGGAAGTTTGTAAATATGTTAACACATCACATTTTTGTACAGGTGATGCTTGTCCATGCGGAAAGGATGGCTTTTAACATCTCTGTCAATTATGTGTATGTCTTTTTTCCCCTTTTGTGCTATTGCTAAATCCAGTTACTTTCTTTATAACCACAGATCTATGTGCAGATTTTAGTCAAGGTTATGATGCCTCAGGTTAATGCTACTCAATTGAGCCACACTCAGTCTGATGATAATATTGTTGCAGAGTTGAATATGAATGCAACACATTTTGAATATATGTTGAATGACGAGGTTGAAGCTACAGTGCACGACTCAAAATATTTTACTGAAAAACAATTTTCTGAACATTTAGAAAACTGTCCTGTCAATGAAACGTCCTTTTTGCCCTCTAATGTGCGTAGCATGAATGCAAATTTTGACAGGCTTTCCTTGTTTTTGGACACTTTTCAGGATAAATACCCAATAATTGGAATCACTGAAACTTGGTTTTCTAGTCATCCAACTGCCATGTACGATCTTCCTAGGTATCAACTAATCACTAATGATCGACAAAGCAGATCCGGTGGTGGTGTAGCAATGTATATTCCCATTTCATTTGAGTGTCATACAAAAACAGAATTGTACATTATGAATGATTCACTAGAATCTCTATTTGTTGAGATTATAATTCCTGGAGAAAAAAACTTGTTAGTGGGAGTAGTCTATAGGCCACCAAATGGTGATGTGAATGAATTTATTGAAGAATTGTCTAACACTCTTTCAAGCCCATTATCCAGAAATAAAAAAATAATTATTATGGGTGATTTTAATATAAATTTATTAAGTTATGATCACGATAACTCTGTTAATAATTTTGTTGATACTTTAAGTACATTTTCTTTGATTCCTCTGATTAATAAGCCAACTAGAGTAGCAGTTAACTCACAAACCTTAATTGACAATATTTTCACCAATTTGCACCCTATTCCCACTGCTGGTATAATAGTGGCCGATATATCGGATCATTTCCCTATATTTGCTAGAACATCTTTAGCATTAAGGAGTTCTTGTACTGAATCCTGTGATAAGTTAACACAGAAATTCACTCAGGGAAATATAACAAAATTTAAGAGAGAATTGGAAACTGTTGAATGGAACGAAGTTTTATGTGAAACAGAAGTTGATAAGTCTTTTGATAAATTCATGGATATAATGGTGTTATCTTATGACAGATGCTTTCCCTTGGTGCAAAGAAGTAAGCAAGAATATAAAAGAGTACCTCGTATGCCATGGGTCACTAAGTCTTTACTCAGGTCAATAAATAAAAAGAATCGTTTGTTTTGTAGATACAAAGCAAAGCAGACTGGTGTAGCCAAGCTTAAGTATACTAACTATAGAAATATATTGACTTCTGCTCTGCGCCAAGCAAAGAAAGACTATTATCAATTTCAATTCCAGTCTACGTGTAATAATGTTAAAGGTACATGGAAAGTTATTCGAAATGTCTTGAAAACCAATCCTAAACTACAGAGTATTACAAAACTCACCTGGAAGGATGGTCTTATTGAAGACAAGAAACTTATGTGTGAAGCATTTAATGAATATTTTTCTAACATTGGTGCTACTCTGTCTAGCTCCATACCTGATATACAGGAAACCTATGGAAATTATTTAACCAGTCCAAATGAAAAGTCTTTATTTTTTGTTCCTGTAGTGAATTCTGAGGTTATAGATGTTGTAAGTGGCTTGAAAAGGAAGAAGAGCCCTGGATACGATGGTATAACTAATGATTTGATAAAAGAAGTAATTTCATTTGTAGTCGTACCTCTCACTCACATTTATAACTTGTCTTTAATGCATGGAATTGTTCCTAAAAAAATGAAAATAGCTAAAGTTGTGCCTATATATAAAAAAGGGAACCCTGTAGAAACTGGTAATTATAGACCAATTTCTCTACTTACTGTCTTCTCCAAGATTTTGGAAAAGCTTGTATATATTAGATTGATAAAGTTTTTGAAGTCGTGTCAAGTTTTCTCAAATTCTCAGTTTGGTTTTCGCGAGAAACACACAACTTCTCATGCTGTTTTATGTCTTTTAGACAAAATATCTTCGGCACTTGATAAACACCTCCATACGGTTGGTATATTTTTGGATTATTCCAAAGCTTTTGATACGGTGAACCATAATATTTTGTTGCACAAGCTCTCTTATTATGGGGTAAGAGGACCTGCACTCGAATGGTTTAGAAGTTATCTTAGTAACAGACAACAATTTGTGCAGCTCGGCGAAATTTGTTCAGATATGTTACCCGTCACGTGTGGAGTACCTCAAGGTTCCCTTTTGGGTCCCCTGCTTTTTATTTTATATGTAAATGATTTTCCAAAATCCTCAGAGACGTTTTCTTTTTTGCTATTTGCAGACGATACAAGTGTATTCTGTTCTCATAGAAACTTAAATACTCTTTTAGAAACTGTAAATAGAGAGCTTTGTGTATTGACTAAATGGATTCATGCAAATAAACTGTCACTAAACTTATTAAAAACTAAACATATGTTATTCAGTAATAGTGAAACAGTAATGCCTGGTAATGTAGTCTTTGATCAGGTAAATATTGAAAAAGTCTCATTTATTAAATTTTTAGGTCTCCACATTGATGATAAATTGACTTGGAAGATGCATACTACTCATTTAAGTAAAGTGCTCTCTAGAAATGTTGGTATGATCAACAAATTGAAGTTTGTATTCCCAAGAAAAGTACTTAGCATGTTGTACTGTTCCTTAATTTTGCCATACTTAAATTATGGTGTGCTAGCCTGGGGTGCCTCAGCCAAATCCTACTTAAATAAAATTCTGCTCATTCAAAAGAGAGCAGTGAGAATTATTTCGGCAGCTGATTGGCGTGCTCACACTGACAAGCTATTTTACGAAAATAAAATGCTGAAGGTAAAAGATATATATTTTCTATATCTGGGATATCTTATGTATCAGTTGGAGAAGGGTGAAGCTCCCATGTCAATAGCATCTATTTTTGTAAAGAATAACCAAATACACAAATACTCTACTAGGCAGGCTGCCTTATACCATGTATCATCAGCTAGAACTCAGCTTAGGATTAATACACTTGCACATACTGGACCAAAGTATTGGAACTCTTTAGACTGTTCTATTAGGCAGTCTGTAAGCTCTTCTGTCTTCAAACGTAAGCTGAAATTTCATCTACTGTACACCTACAGTGAATAGATCTGATTTTTATTAGTATTCAATATAGGTAACTGGAATAGCATTGTCCCCCCCCCCCCCCCCCGTGTTGTACATTATCCTCCTTCCCCTACTTCTTTACTTTTCCATTATCTTTATTCTGTTTTCTTTTTTAGTCTACCATATTCTGTAAATTAGTGGTAGATCTGATATTTATTTATAGTCTGTATAGGTAACTAGATTAGTATTAGTCCCCCTCCCCCTGTAATATAACCTACTTCTTTTTAAAAAAATTGTTGTTTCTGTAAAGGTGATCTGTGTTTTAACAAGCTGTGCTTTTTTAACAGACCACCTCTTTTTCCACATTTGTTAAAGTCTTTATAACTGTTTCATTGTTAATGTTTTTATGTTAGTTTACGATGAACTTGTTACTACTGTTACTGAATGAAATGTTTTTTATGCAAGTGGAAAGAAATAAACAAATCTTGAATCCTGAATCTTGAATCTTTATATTATAGGTTACGTGACCTAATACAACTGTTGGTCTAAAGGCATTAGTCTTCTCTATCTTCATCATTTTTTGCGTAGTTGTTTCTAAAAATATTTAGAGCCTATATATATATATACATGTACTTGCAGGCGCATCCGGGATTTCTTAGGAGGGGGGCCAAATTTGAAATCAATTTGAAATTCAGTGTGCTGAAATTTGAAAATCGTGCCGGCCAATATTTCGCTCATAAGTGACTTTAGTTCATGAAATCAAAACAAGTTGGTCGAGTTGTCCGGATAGAGTGACACCCTACCCTTAACAACTAGACCCAGACGAGTTGTCCAGGGCCTGGTCGGGTTATCTTTGGTCGATCTGTCCGTTGGGCGGGCTGTCATGCAGGAAGCACATAGAGACATAATGTATGTACATATACAAATACTTTATTATGGAAATCGTCCATCCGTCATGGTCAAAGAAAACAAATGAAATAAAGATCCTTGTGAGTTTCAATTCACTAATACCGGTTTCAATTAATTTCGTCAGATAGTGAATTCAACATCACAAACAAGTGCAACAAAGTGTATACAAATAAATGAGTACATGACTGTGTACATTGCGTTGAAATGGCACATCGCTTGGGAATGGAATGAACATATTATACATTGTTACATCATAGTCGTAATCATATCATATTTATCTTTCTCTACTTTGTGGAAAATATATATCGAAGAGACAAGACATATTTTAAGTAACAGAATGATACATTATTGTCAACACGTCAGAAAGAAAAAAACAAATACTTAAATATGAAGTTAAGTTCTGGTCATACGATTGCATTGTGAAAAAAACGGTGTGGAACCGACCAGAAAAGGTTGATCATCTAGCATATAAGAATTTATGTGTATTGCAAGGTTCTGAAATCATCAAAATGATAAGAAATTTGGCCAAGTCTTGGTAAAATTACAAACACTTACACAGAAAGATGTATATGGGACTACACGAACACGTGGCGTAAAAAGCCGGCCCCCCGATTTTTACGATGTCACATGCATATTTAGAATATGAAGGCATTTGAAGAGCCATGATTTTCAGGGAACATGTCTAAACTGATGTTCTTCCACACTTGCATAATAAGAATGAGTAATGCTCACAAATTATTTTTCACCTCTTCCCAGAACTCAACCTTCTCTTTAATGTAAAGTAAACATATATATCAAGATGTGCAAAATAAAAAAATGAAACAATTTGATGCTATATATACAATTCTATAAATTGAGAACATAAAACGAAACTAAAAGATAAGACCCCCCTCCCCCCCCCCCCCCCCCCGCTTCCCCTAAGGAAAAGTACAATGCATTTTATAAATAAATGTCAGCCACATCTGAAAAATTTTCAATTAAAAGTAGTGAAGAATGATGGGATTATTAAATTAAACTTGTCATTTATGACTTAAAGTCTTGAAATTGAATCGTTCTTTTACTATCTTCCAGTGGTGACGAAACCCAACGCCCATACGAATCAGGTTTGCCCTGTTCTAGTTGCCCTGATAGTGAAGGAGTTACATATAGCTGCGAGAATAATCTTTGCACCTGTAAGTATTCAATTCAATTTAGTTCAATTCAATTCAATTCAATTCAATTCAATTCAATTCGATCGATACAAGGTTTATTTCAAGGTACTAAATCCCATTTGCAGGCCAAAAATAATGAAAAGGTTAAATTTCAACGGCATTTGAAAGATAACACTAATTTAGAACTTCCCTAAAAAAAAAGGGGTGCTTGAAAACTGCTTTAAGTGGGATTATAACGACTATTAGTTGTCAAATCGACTTAAGAGCTATAGAGCCAGTAAGTAATAGTCTGATTTTCAGACCATTGTACCGAATGGTCATACGTTTTATGCTGCGCAAAGATTCAATCACTTTAATTTTGGCCATTATATACAAGAAGTGGGTTATTGATGTAGACAAATGATCATGTACCCTTAACAGCTCATTTTATGTATGTTAATACCAAAGAAGAAAAAAAGCCAGTCAGTCACTCAATAGTGTCTGACAGTGAAGTCTTGCAAGTAAACGGGTTTCCTTGCTAACGTTTAAATTTCACAGATGGGTCATCCGTGACATATTCATAATTCCTGCAAAGTTCTACAGAATTTGATGTTGGCTGCAAAAGGGACATAGTATCTTCAAAGGGGAAGTCAACCCTAGTATATCAGAAAAATGAGACAAATAAATTAGTGAAATTTTGAGCAATATCCGATTAAATTAGAAAAGTTATGAATTTTTGAAGTTGTCATCAGTGATGGCAACACTGTGACATATCGTGCGAGCTACTCTCTAATTCTCTCTGTACAGAAAATGTCATAAACTGTCATTTTCTTAGTTATTGATGACAGAATATTAAGTGTCATACGGGGGTTGTAAATTGACATATTTGCAATAATTGTATTTAGGGTGAATGTAATATGATTGAAAATTTTCTGAAGGGAAGATATCATTTTTTGATTTGATTTTTTTAGTATTACCATGGACCTACGACAAACAGGGCAAATTGGAGGGGACCTCGCAAGATACCTCTGCACAGAGTTGTCAATTTGTATTTGATTGATACTTCTAATCGGTTTTTGCTCATACTTTCACTGACATATTTCTTTTATTTTTCTGCTTCTATTAAAACCAATTCAATATCAGGGTGGACTACCCCTTTAAACATGACTGGTAGTCACAAACTGAATTGTACATGTTTCTACAGTGCAAGTTAATATGTATACACATTGCAGGAATAAGAAAACATGTAGAATAGAAAGTAATAGGTACATGAAATAGATAACATTAATAAAAATGTAATACAAAAGCGTATACATGACTGTTAAATGCACTAGCATTGCATCCAATTACCTCGCTGCTCTCAATGTAAACATATTGCACGATAATAAACAGGACTAGGTCCCAAAAAAAATGGAAGGGTGTGTGATGGAAAGAAAAGAAGACTGTAAGCAACCAAACAGGAGATATAAGATACCGAATGGAAGGAAGAAAGACAGTGGTGGATTCTATATGAAACAGGAGAGAGAGAGATTCATTTATACCCATTTACATCGGGGCTCCCTTTCATAAAACTTACAACTAATGTTAACTTTGCCCTTAAATCATATTGTTGTGATACGTGGTGGATGCATTCGTTGCGTTTTATTTATCTTCTCGTAATCTTTTTTTTTTTTTGGGCTAAGGGCTTGGCAACGCTGACATGACAACGAGATTGGACTGAACTACCCAACTACAACACGTCCAAAGGACCTGATTACATTTTTTGAGTTTTACTTCTACTCATCTTTACTTCGCAACTCATAATTCGGAATAGTGGGAATCGTATAAAAGTTTGTTCAGATATAATGCGGTAATCCGCCGCACAAACCGCGGCGGATTAGGTGTAAGATGGTGGTTGTGGTTTACTTCGATTAATACAGTGTTAGTCAAAAAAAAGTTTACACCTAGAAAATTGCTAATTATTTTAAAAAATCATCTATGAACAGTAAATTATTTATCTGATGAAAGAGTGTTTTATCCCGAATCATTTGGTATCATTTTTGTGGGGTATGTGTTCACGCTTGGATGAACAGGAGGCATTTTTTGCGTGAGTGCAAAATTCGACTTGCGCCAAAGTTGCTTATGTGATGTCACATAAAAACAATTTGGATTTGGGTATTAATTCGGTCTTTGCAGATCCACATAACATTCCTAACAAAATTAATCATGCCACACATATTAGATATCAACGAACATTTTGTGCGCGCGTGTGTGTATGTGACTTTGTTTTTGCAAAACGCATATGCAATCCATTTCATTTGATACATTAAATTCATTCTCTCACTCCACTAATCCGAACATAATACATACTGTAGGCATCACTTTGGCACAAGTCGATTTTTGCACTCTCGCAAACAATGCCTCCTGTTCATCCCAGCGTTAACACATACCACAAAAAAGATACCAAACGATTTGGGATAAAACACTCTTTCATAAGATGTATAATAATTTACTGTTCATAGATGATTTTTAAAATAATTAGCAATTTTCTAGGTGTTAACTTTTTTTTGACTCACACGGTATAGAGGGCTTCTTTTGATTTTTTATTTCGAAATCTGTGTTGGTAATATCTTTAATTTTAAAGCATTACATACTGCATTCTATTCAACATTGTCTTGAAGACTGCAATGCTGTTTGCAGACATGGGAATTCTGGTCTTGTTTCTTAATCTTTACCGTTAATGTCTGTGTGACTATTATTTGTTTTTATTTTATGCTCTTTTACTTTTGTACCATTAATTAAATCATGAATTTTAGTTTTCATTTCATCGTTGAAAGACAATCTTTATTATTATCCTTGGCATATAAGTTCATTTCGTAAATTCAATTGTAAACTTAAACTTCTTCTAAAATGAGGAATTCTTCTGTCAAAGTCTAAGTGTGTGAACCAAGTTAAGTCACAAACGGTAGGCCTATACTCGCCGTGGGCCGGGAGCGGCAGGGAGGACGTTTCTTGAAATCAATCAAAGGGCCCTTGTATATACGCAGCGCATGAGGCGGTAATAGAAACGTCAAATTTAACTACTATATGGAGGGGAATTTTTCTTTCCTGGAGGGGCCGTTATAAATAGGCAATTTGTGCTTAAAAATAGGCAACAACAGGATTATAAGCACCAGAAGGGGCCGGGGAGGGGGGGCGAAATTTTTATTCCCAAACAGGTTGGCAATTTCTTATATTTCCGTTCTTCTCAATGGCTGATATGTTCTACGTCATTAGCAGCTTGGAAAGAGGTCACAAACAATTAGACTTTGATTTTTTATTGCTTTGCCTCACTATTTATAAAGGCAAAAAAAACTGTATAAACTGAGACTTGAACCCACAACTTTAAGATTGTATTACGCTGACCTTACCGATTGAGCCAACGATAGGTTAATGTAAAATGATTCTGCATGATTTCTATAACCCTATCACTCACCCGAACGGTTACGTCATTGCTAATGACGTAACATATCAGCCAATCAGATGACCGGAAATATTAGCATAAGCAAACTGTTTGGGAAAAACAAAAAAGCGGCCGGCGAGGGGGGGGGTGTAGGTAATGTTCAAAATCTAGAAGAAAAATGTTTCGCAAGTAGACCTCATAAATCAAGTAAACCCTTTGTAAAATCGGTTATTAATAAGTTGCCCACGTTATAAATCCGTCAACCTAGTTTGAATGGCTAAGTTCTATCCTATTTAAATCATTGAAGTTGATATTAAATGAATGAATTTTAATCCATAAAATTTGTCATTAAATTTTGACCTGAATATTCAACCCTCTCTTAAAGGGAAATTTGGTGGAGTTATTTATAATCTCTCATTTGATACACTTGTATGTTGTATTTCTTCTGAATAAAAAGTTGGTATAAAGGGAAACAATTAAATGTCTTTGTTTATTTGTTGAGTTATGTTCCATTTTTAAGTAGGCTGAGAGGCAAGGAAATGTCCATATTTCTTTCCCCAAAGAATGAAAGACCTTGTCAGTGGTAAATATATGCGTTTTATGGTTCGGTATAAAAATGTCAGAGGTAAAAATGCCAGAATTGACAATTCTACACCAAAGATTTTGATAGATTCCTCCACATTTCCTTTTCCTCTATCAATTAAAAAGAAACATTCCTAAGCAAAGTATCCTATCCAAAATTACTGCACTAGATGTTAACGTTTCAACATTACACGTCCCCCCCCCTTTTCTCCGTTTTTTAAAGTTTTTTTCGACCTCATAATACTGAATGTGAGTGTGAATGTTGCCTCTTTTCAAAGAACGTCAGTTATCAACCAGAAAAGCTCCATAAGAAAATAAATGGCTATCATACATTTCGGAATTCGGCGCTCACCACACGATCCTCTTGCGATCCCATTTTGGTTGAAAGGCGGAGGTTATTTTTTATGTTGAAAACTAAATTACCACTATCCTCCTGATTTTGTTCTAAATAATGATAATAATATTAATAATCGAAATAAGTGTAAGCATTTAACTCTTCTAATCGAGAAAAAAGGCCGAAAAGGCTCCCAATAATTGTAGACAGTCGCAATATTGGTCTGGCGTCCCAACGTTTCCGTAGCCGATTTAGCTTCCCCCTCGAAAGAAGCATGAAATCCCGTGAAATTTAGATTTTAATGATTTTAATTAATGACTATTCAGATCCTCGGCAATTAAGATGTTACATACTTATGTATGGATGTCCAAATTAAATTGTGTACAAATTATTCAAAAATCGGATCATAATCAAATCGTGAAGTGTGCGCCAGGCTTTAAAGGAAAATAATTACATGACTACTAAAACAACTATAAAACTGTTAATTTATTATCCGATTATTTGTATTAAACAAAAGCTATAGATGTGTATATTGTCAATGAGGAATTCTTCTGTCAAAGTCTAAGTGTGTTAACCAAGTTAAGTCACAAATGGTAGGCCTATACTCGCCGTGGGCCGGGAGCGGCAGGGAGGACGTTTCTTGAAATCAATCAAAGGGCCCTTGTATATACGCAGCGCATGAGGCGGTAATAGAAACGTCAAATTTAACTACTATATGGAGGGGAATTTTCCTTTCCTGGAGGGGCCGTTATAAATAGGCAATTTGTGCTTAAAAATAGGCAAAAACAGGATTATAAGCACCAGAAGGGGCCGGGGGGCGAAATTTTTATTCCCAAACAGGTTGGCAATTTCTTATATTTCCGTTCTTCTCAATGGCTGATATGTTCTACGTCATTAGCAGCTTGGAAAGAGGTCACAAACAATTAGACTTTGATTTTTTTATTGCTTTGCCTCACTATTTATAAAGGCAAAAAAAAAAACTGTATAAACTGAGACTTGAACCCACAACTCTAAGATTGTATTACGCTGACCTTACCGATTGAGCCAACGATAGGTTAATAAAAAGAGATTCTGCATGATTTCTATAACCCTATCACTCACCCGAACGGTTACGTCATTGCTAATGACGTAACATATCAGCCAATCAGATGATCGGAAATATTAGCATAAGCAAACTGTTTGGGAAAAACAAAATAGCGGCCGGCGAGGGGGGGGGGGGGGGGGGGGTGTAGGCAATGTTCAAAATCTAGAAGGAAAATGTTTCGCAAGTAGACCTCATAAATCAAGTAAACCCTTCGTAAAATCGGTTATTAATAAGTTGCCCACGTTATAAATCCGTCAACCTTGTTTGAATGGCTAAGTTTTATCATTTTTAAATCATTGATGTTAAATGAATGAATTTTAATCCATAAAATTTGTTATTAAATTTTGACCTGAATATTCAACCCTCTCTTAAAGGGAAATTTGGTGGAGTTATTTATAATCTCTCATTTGATACACTTGTATGTTGTATTTCTTCTGAATAAAAAGTTGGTATAAAGGGAAACAATTAAAAGTCTTTGTATTTTTGTTGAGTTATGTTCCATTTTTAAGTAGGCTGAGAGGCAAGGAAATGTCCATATTTCTTTCCCCAAAGAATGAAAGACCTTGTCAGTGATAAATATGAGTTTTAATGGTTCGGTATAAAAATGTCAGAGGTAAAAATGCCAGAATTGACAATTCTACACCAAAGATTTTGATAGATTCCTCCACATTTCCTTTTCCTCTGTCAATTAAAAAGAAACATTCCTAAGCAAAGTATCCTATCCAAAATTACTGCACTAGATGTTAACGTTTCAACATTACACGTCCCCCCCCCCCCTTTTCTCCGTTTTTTAAAGTTTTTTTCGACCTCATAATACTGAATGTGAGTGTGAATGTCGCCTCTTTTCAAAGAACGTCAGTTATCAACCAGAAAAGCTCCATAAGAAAATAAATGGCTTTCATACATTTCGGAATTCAGCGCTCACCACACGATCCTCTTGCGATCCCATTTTCGTTGAAAGGCGGAGGTTATTTTTTATGTTGAAAACTAAATTACCACTATCCTCCTGATTTTGTTCTAAATAATGATAATAATATTAATAATCGAAATAAGTGTAAGCATTTAACTCTTCTAATCGAGAAAAAAGGCCGAAAAGGCTCCCAATAATATTGTAGACAGTCGCAATATTGGTCTGACGTCCCAACGTTTCCGTAGCCGATTTAGCTTCCCCCTCGAAATAGGCATGAAATCCCGTGAAATTTAGATTTTAATGATTTTAATTAATGACTATTTAGATCCTCGGCAATTAAGATGTTACATACTTATGTATGGATGTCCAAATGAAATTGTGTACAAATTATTCAAAAATCGGATCATAATCAAATCGTGAAGTGTGCGCCAGGCTTTAAAGGAAAATAATTACATGACTACTAAAACAACTATAAAACTGTTAATTTATTATCCGATTATTTGTATTAAACAAAAGCTATAGCTGTGTATATTGTTAATAGTTTAGCATTATGTATAGGTCTCTTCAGGGATAGATAATTTACCTTTTGCTGGGGGGGGGGGGGGGGCAACAAGTCGTGAAGGCTATTATTTCTTATTTTGATAACGGTGATGATGATGATGATGATGATGATGATGTTGATGATACTAAAAGTAGGCCTGATCATATTGGTAATAATAATATCATTAAATAATAATAATAATTAATTATATTTATAAAGCGCTTAATACAATGTTTTTAAGCTCTTAACATAACGAGGTACAATGTACAAAAAACATACAGTAATAATAATACATCATTCTAATAACAACATTACAGATAATACTTACCGTTAAACTTAAACTTACTTTAAACAAAACTGCCCTATAGCTTACTGTCAAACAAATAATACTTCAAACTTGCCTTAAAAGACTCTACAGGACGGGGATTGACGGATACTAATTGGTAATTTGTTCCACAATTCTAATACTATTATTACTACTAATAATAATAATAATAATCACTATTGTCATAATAATAACAACAACACTAATGATGATGATAAAATAATAGTAATACTAATTATGAAAATTATGAAAATTGGCCACTAAAAAAGGTGCCTCTTACCTTACGGGTTTTTTCACACAAAGTAAGTTAATACTTTAACCCAGGTATCTATGAATTTTCAAAATCGTAGGTCAAAGGGAAATATTTTAAATGTTTTGTTAATTATAGTGTTTTCTAGTGCAGAGCCTTGTATAATTATGTGTAGTGTAACCACGGACAAAAGTACTACTCATAGTGACATAGTGACATAGTAATTTATTGGTTAAACACCACTATAACAAATGTCACGCAAAACAAACACTCACAAATAATTATTCAATAAAATCTGAGAATGTATACTATTATTTAGATCTATTAGGAATAAATCATTGTCAAAATCATTCCATAAATAAATTGGGGTAAAAATAATTATTCCACCTTTATGACCAACAGTGTACTAAATGTCCCCTATACTTGGAGATTATTGGTAGACAGGTCAAATGGCTCAGTGAAAAAATAAAAATATTACGGAATGCATTTACATGTTGCCAATATGATAGTTGGCTGCTAATTAGCTAATTTGCATATTATTTTAATGACAAATTACTTATTTTTTTGCGCAGATAGGCCTATATAATACTTTCCAAGATCAACATACCTGTAAAGCAAAGGGAGGTAATATTAAATGATGTGTTACATTGTTACTTAAATGTACATGTATCCACATATCATGTATCGTAACTAAAAGATGATATTGACTTTTAAGATGATTATAACATTCATGTGCAACCTTATTGAGTTTCCTCCAAAACACACCCCCCAAAAAATTGACCCCCCCCCCCCCGCGCCATACGCGCCTGGTACTACTACTTCTGCCTACTATACTGCTACTATTACTAGGCTTAGAATAGTAATACTTCTAATATTGATAATAATAATAATAATAATAACAATAATAATGACAATGATATAACTATAAGAATAATCATTCATAAATTATTAAGTAGAAATAAAAAGTCATATATTCTCTGACCAGCTCAAAATATAGAGTCTTGTGGCATTTGTAAGATGCCGTTGAGTAACTTTGGTTTACTTACGACTTGGGGGGGGGGTGGAATATGACATTTTTTTACGTTTGTAATAAGGCATATCAAGTCAAGTCCGTCACTTATACGCATATCTACTGAAGATACCAATCAGTGACCTCAGTCTAAAATAAAATTCATCAAGACTTGCATAAAGACTATGCAAAATGTTAAACGCCTGTATTTTATTTATGCGTAACTTTAATATTTTCTAGCAATTAATCATCTTTTTCATTAAATTTAAAACATATTGTCATAAACGTTATATTTTTGATATATTTTAACTAAATTAGTATATAAATTAACCTTATTCAATGCTTTTTTTGGACAAATTATTCTGTTTTTAAAATAGAGTTGACTGTCATAAAGACTAGAATTCTCTAATAAACATGCACAATAGATTTAACAAGCTCTGGGTACGAAGAGCAATGGCGTCTGTACATAAGTTTCCCGATTTCGCCGTAATATGCTCCTTTTTGGAGCGTTACGGCGAAATGTTGCAGCTGCCCGACCTCACAATCCCAGAATTACAAGAAGCAATAGAAGAAACAAAATGTGGTAAGTAACCATTACGACTGCATAGCCCCTAAAAACTGGAAATTGTTGTGATTGTCGTCTAGTCTCGCGAAATAGAAATGCCTTGAACGTTGAATTATATGCAGACTTGCTTGAACCTGTGTGAGTGTGAGTGGGACTGTAGCTTTGACTGTCGACTGTGCAGCTGTGTGTTGTTTTACCCAGGCCAAAGCCTAGCCCTGGATCTGGCCTCGTCTGTAAATCAGTGCGAGTTTGATTCAGTGTGATTGCAGTGCCTGGATGTACTAATGAAAAATGGGCAACAAATTGAATGCTGTCTGCATCTGACTCTTCTGAGACTGAAACTGAAAGTGATGTGTGATGTGATGTTTGTCCATGACATATCGGTCCGAGAATAAGGATCGTCCACATAAACGAGGAATGCCTTTGCATACTCGGAAAGACCTGTGCACAAAAAATAAGAATCGTCCACATTTTCGCAGACGTTTTATATTTCCGATCCGCGCATTGGGGATGCAAAAAAACGGATTCTGTGATGTAGACTCTATTTCACATTGAGTTTGTACAGAGACTCTTACGTTATGATCAATAAATCCTTGGGAAGACCCATAAAAGTAGATGGTGAACAGGGGTTATTTTATTAGTAGTTACCTGTTACCTGTAGTTGCCTGGAGAGTCTGTTTTTCGCAATGCCAGCGCACGGTTCGGGAACCTGTAACCCACAGCGCGGATGGAAAAAAACGTCCATGAAAATGCGGACGATCCTTGTTCTTAAGGATGCAATTTGTCCGCATTTACGAGGATATCCTCGTTTATGAGGACGATCCTCATTTGAGACCAGTGCCCCTTAAACATAAATCTGGTGATTGGGCTTTGGCATAATCGTTAGTAGATAGTATTGTGTAGTACTAGTAGAAGCAACCATCATGACCATTCGCCTCAGTCCACACTGTAGTGTTTCATATAAAATTTCATTGCATCACACGCTTCAGTCTCCTTTTTGTTAGTACCCATAGACAGCAAATTGCAAAGCCGTGTGAGGCGCAATTCTTCGACTGACACAAAAATTTCAATGAAGGATGTAAAGTATTTGAAATTAAAGTAAAAAGTTGGCAACAAATTTTTGACAACTTTGGAACTTTTACTTTCATAAACAATACATGCATGACACAGCGTTCAGGTACCGTTTATTAACTCAAAGCTCAATGATTGCACATACGTACATACGTACGTACAGAAATTGCAAATTTGCACACCACTAAAATCAATCCACCTTAAAACTTAAGTATTTAATTGTTACCAATCATATTCTAGCTCATCCTGAATCAATCCAAACTGCTGATATAAATATGGGTTGCAAAGCAGTTCATAAACAATACATGCATGACACAGCGTTCAGGTACCGTTTATTAACTCAAAGCTCAATGATTGCACATACGTACATACGTACGTACAGAAAGTGCAAATTTGCACACCACTAAAATCAATCCACCTTAAAACTTAAGTATTTAATTGTTACCAATCATATTCTAGCTCATCCTGAATCAATCCAAACTGCTGATATAAATATGGGTTGCAAAGCAGTTCGCCCCATGGGGTTGTTGTTGCCAGCTAGCTGCTAGCTAGCTACTGTACTGGCCGGGTCTCTCGGCAGGATTAATAAATCAGGTTGAAAGAAACATTAATGTTTGAATAATAAAACTGTTTTCTAAAAAGTACTTCTTTACAACATACCGATCGAACAATTTTTAAAAGACAAAATAGATATTTTTTCTTTTATTTTGAACACCGCATGCTTCTTTAAAAATCTGAAAATTACTTGGTAATCACAAGAAGTTTCGATACGGATAGCTGTTGCAAGGCAAGTTGAGACTAGTCTCGGAAAAATGCGCAGTGCACCTCGTTAGCTGTAATGCGTGCCAGAACGAACCCAAACAAAGACGTGATCGTAACAAGAAAAAAATCATTAAAAACTACGAGAGCACAATTGGAAAGACAACTACTCAAAATTATCGTAAGCAGATACATAACTTGGAGGAAGAATACAATAGTTAATTGTCCAAGAAAAGCCACATAAATAGTGATATTTAGGGAGTTACTATACATGTAGGTACAATCATTATCGGAAGGGCCTAGCTGCTGCGATATCCGAATTACACGTGTTTAAATTGAACACGAGGCTAGAAACCAAATAAGGCCCTCTACGGTAAAAAGCAGTAAAACAAAGGATTCGAGTATTTGCAGCAGGCCCCTTGCGATAAAAATGTACCCAGTTACTCCTCGATTATCACAATTTCTGTGGCATTTCTTGGGCGATTATTGTGTTCTTTGTCCAAGTTATGTATCTGATTATGGTAATTTTGAGCAGTAGTTGTCTTTCCAATTGTGCTCTCGTAGTTTTTAATGATTTTTTTCTCGTTACGATCACGTCTTTGTTTGGGTTCGTTCTGGCACGCATTACAGCTAATTACGAGGAGCACTGCGCATTTTTCCGAGACTAGTCTCAACTTGCCTTGCAACAGCTATCCGTATCGAAACTTCTTGTGATTACCAAGTAATTTTCAGCTTTTAAAAAAAAGCATGCGATGTTTAAAATAAGAGATAAATATTTATTTTGTCTTTAAAATATTATATGATCTGTATATTGTACAGAAGAATTTTTTAGAAAGCCGTTTTATTATCCTAACATTCATATTTTTTGACCAGATTTATTCAACCTGCATAAATCAAAATGGCGGCTCGAATGTTGTCTTTCCATTTCTGCCCCAGTTTTTTTACTTTTAGAGGCACGATAATGGCACTAAACATCGCCAATCATGGATGAAAATAATGTCAAATGGAAGAATATACCGATCTGAGCCGAGGTATGCATGTGTTGATTTATTTGATTGATAAAAAAGGTCACTTTTAAGGAACATACTGATGATATGCGCTTTTTATAGAGGCAAGTGACAAATCCTGCGAGCTGATTTCGGGACACCGGGTCCCGATCGGTGCAACGCCGTCGGGACCCGGTTTATGAAAATCCCGACATGACTCAGGCCTAAGCCATATTACCCACACACAAAAAATGAAAAAAGTTGTACAAACTATACTTCTAATTATTTTTATTTATTTATTCATTTTAAATGGTTTATTTCATTAAAAAACATCTTTTTTTTTTTACTCTACAACCCCCCCCCCCCCCCCCTCCTCCTTGAGCCAGGAGTGGGGGCCCATGCCCCCCTGGATCTGCCACTGCTGCCATCTATGATAATTTTGAAAGAGTAATCAGAAAATCCAAATTGATGGCTCAGTGGTAGAGCAGTGGTCTCTTGACCGGAGATCCCGTGTTTGAAACCAAGTTGATGTGGTAGTGCCCTTTGGTAAGGCATTAATCCTCATTACCAAGTCCCTCAGAGAGGACTTACATGTAAATGGTTAGTCCAATGGTTGCTTACTTACAATCACATGCTTTCTTAGTAGGCTGTAAAAGAAACAAACCGACCAACTTACTTCAAGATAATGTCTTATAAACTCTCATATTTTGTTTTATTCTTCAGATGTTCCAATTTTGAGAGAGATGATCATCAAGTTGATGCGTCGTCTAATCAAAAACGTGAATGCCGAAAAATGGGAGAGACATTTAGTCAAGGTAAGAGAGAAAGTAAAGTTTGCTCAGTTTCTATGCATTTTTAGTTTGATTTGAAGTGATTTGAGTTAGATAAAGTGTATTTATTTCTAGTGATGACTGTAATATTGTTTTTTGTTATTGTCTTCAGTTGTTAATCACTTGTCAAGAAATTATAACTTACCTTTGAATCTGGGGGGGGGGGGGGTGTTTCACAAAGACTGGACTTGAACTATGGCAGGCCATTCATGTCACTGGTTGCTCTCACAATTTGTCTCTCTAGGGACGTCACAAATCTACAGAATTTACATTTTTGATAGTTCATTGTTCAAGGGGAAAAATTTACTTACATTGTAAGCTTAAGTTATATTTAAGACTTGGACTTATACTAGATGTAACATGAGAGGGGAAAAAAAAAGAAATTTTGATCTTTCCTTCAATAATGAACTATCAAAAAATGTAAATTCTGTAGCTTTGTGACCTCGATTTATACGTCCTTTGAGAAACCAATGCCAGGAATGGTTAGAGGAACTAGTGGCATGAACTGCCTGCCATAGTTGAAGTCCAACTTAAGTCGATCTTAGTCTTTATGAAACACTCGCCAGGTGTACCGTTGATAGAAATGACAACTTCCTACAGGTTGAACTTCGATATATGAAATGCCTTGCTATCTTTTAAGGTATGTACTAAATTATTGAATGTGCACAATCTTATTTCTCTCCGTATACATGTAGATAAGCCGCTACTATTCAGGAATGGCAGCATGGGAGGTGGACACCCTAGGTTACATGCAGAGTAAAACAGAAACAAAATTAGGTCTCCTAAAGGTAAGATTGTTGTCAATATTTCCCTATTTTCAAAGAAGAAAGAAGATTAATTTCCCTTGAATATGGTTATCAACCTGTACATAAAGACCACCTGCCTATTAAGACCACTTTTCATGTTTCCCTTGTGCAGTTTTTATATACAGGTTTCACGTAATGTAAACAAATAATTCATTGTAGAGAGGACCCAGTTGAGGATATGAACCCAAAGTTATCTCTTTGATTTTTTTTCAACAGTCATTTTTGTTTGTTTGTCTTTCATTATGTAGTGATCAGAATCGAACAGTAATCAATGCAAGTGCATGCATCTGATAAGGCGAGCATTTTTGTGATCACACGATATTTGAAATACAATCTTAAAATCTTAAAATACGATTTTTCATCTTTAAAAAAAAAAAAAAAAAAAAAACCATAAAAACAGCAGAAATCACATAAAAACCGACGGGCCAGTGGTAGTGTCAAGTTTTCGTGAAAATCTGATTTTTCTCTCCAAAATCTGATTTTTTTAGGATACTCAGTCTGTTTTTTTGTGCCAAGAGGTTGGCATCTCTGCAGGTATACAGAAATTGTAAATCCAATCTCTACGATGAAAATGTAAATGCAAGATTCCCCTTGTGGTTTTCAACAGTTTCTATGCGATAGCCAATTTGACGAGCCAAAGTCCAAGTTCAGGCTGGCTGTGAATGAGATAGAGCCAGAGACCATGAGGATACAGCCAATCGGAAGGGATAAGATGGGACTCGTCTACTGGTTTCAAAAGGTATGTCAGAGCTGCTAACTATTACGTTTTTCTAGGAATTATTCTGTTTTTTTCCTCCAAATTATTATTTTTTACATTTTTTTTTTTACATACCACACGTCAAACAACTGCCTGAAATGTTGTTTTGATCACAAATTCAAATAGAAAGATAAGGTTAAACATGCTTGAAACATACTGGAATAGGCAAATATTCTCAAAAAGGATGAAACGCAGATAATACAAAAATAACAAAAAAAAAATATGTACTTGTATTAGGCGCCACGGATTTATTCAACTGGCATTCGGAATGCATTCGGAATGTCCTTGTTAATCTTTCTGGAATGTATCTGGAATGACCCCATTCTAGCCACATTCTCAAAAAATCGATGCGACCTGCGCCTATTGTCTAGAGAACAAAGGGGCATTCCAGAATGCGCACATTCTGGAATGCATTCTGGAATGCGCCTTTGTTCTCTAGACAAAAGGCGCAAATCGCATCGACTTTTTGAGAATTGGGCGATTAAAAAGCATGCCCGAGACGCTGGCGATTAATCAGAATTGCGTGATTTCAAATGCCTGCCAAAGTGACTACAGCGCGGCGCACAACAGGCTATAACATTCGTTCTCTCAACTTCTGATTTTCTGAAGTTGATAACAGCGGAAATACGTTGTCTCCTAATTGAAGGGAAAAAATATCTTGGAATTACGTTTCCATTTTCCAATAAAAAAAGAGTTACGATCGCTTTATTTCTTAACCGTTAAAATGAATTTTGACGCTACGAGCTTGTTTTAATACAAGTATTTTCCTGCTCGAAAAAAGATTGCATTTATATAAAATAAATTGTTTGTGTTTTCAAATTTCTGCCGACATAGTGTTGGAATATGAATAAGTATCATATTTATATAGACAGCGCGGAGCACTTTTAGAAGGAGTAAGAGCTATTTTTATTTATCTTTTTAAACAAGGTATAACATTCGTTCTCTCAACTTCTGATTTTCTGAAATTGATAACAACGGAAACACGTTGTCTCCTAATTGAAGGAAAAAATTATCTTGGTATTACGTTTCCATTTTCCCATAAAAAAGTTGCGGCCGCTTTATTTCTTCCCCGGTAAAATGAATTTTGACGCTACGAACGAGTTCTAATACAAGTATTTTCCCGCTCGAAAAAGATTACATTTATATAAAATAACTTGTTTGTCTGTTCAAATTTCTGCCGACATAGTGTTGGAATATAGACAGCGCGGAGCACTTTTAGAAGGAGTAAGAGCTATTTTTATTTATCTTTTTAAACAAGGTATAACATTCGTTCTCTCAACTTCTGATTTTCTGAAGTTGATAACAGCGGAAACACGATGTCTCCTAATTGAAGGAAAAAATTATCTTGGTATTACGTTTCCATTTTCCCATAAAAAAGTTGCGGCCGCTTTATTTCTTCCCTGGTTAAATGAATTTTGGCGCTACGAACGAGTTCTAATACAAGTATTTTCCCGCTCGAAAAAGATTACATTTATATAAAATAACTTGTTTGTCTTTTCAAATTTCTGCCGACATAGTGTTGGAATATATATAAGTATCAGTTTATATAGACAGCGCGGAGCACTTTTAGAAGGAGTAAGAGCTATTTTTATTTATCTTTTTAAACAAGGTATAACATTCGTTCTCTCAACTTCTGATTTTCTGAAGTTGATAACAGCGGAAACACGTTGTCTCCTAATTGAAGCAAAAAATTATCTTGGTATTACGTTTCCATTTTCCCATAAAAAAATTGCGGCCGCTTTATTTCTTCCCCGGTAAAATGAATTTTGACGCTACGAACGAGTTCTAATACAAGTATTTTCCCGCTCGAAAAAGATTACATTTATATAAAATAACATGTTTGTCTTTTCAAATTTCTGCCGACATAGAGGCTGTTCACACCGGCAGAGATAGCGCGCGCTAGACCGCGCTATCTCTGCGGTGTGGAAGGTACAACGTCGTTTCGGTCCGCCCAACAGCGAGCCACGGCGAGCCAAAACGGCGTGCCACTGGAGCACCTCTTGGGGGTGGTCCACGAGAGATAGCGCCGTCCAGCGCGCGCTAGAAAAAAGGGGGTGCTACGATAGACCGCGCTATCTCATTGCGGTGTGAACAGCCTCATAGTGTTGGAATGTGAATAAGTATCAGTTTATATAGACAGCGCGGAGCACTTTTAGAAGGAGTAAGAGCTATTTTTATTTATCTTTTTAAACAAGGTATAACATTCGTTCTCTCAACTTCTGATTTTCTGAAGTTGATAACAACGGAAACACGTCGTCTCCTAATTGAAGGAAAAAATTATCTTGGTATTACGTTTCCATTTTCCCATAAAAAAGTTGCGGCCCCTTTATTTCTTCCCCGGTAAAATGAATTTTGACGCTACGAACGAGTTCTAATACAAGTATTTTCCCGCTCGAAAAAGATTACATTTATATAAAATAAATTGTTTGTATTTTCAAATTCTTTAAACTCGGTCAAACTATCATCAATCTCTTTCTCTCTCTTTTGTTGTTGTTGCCATTTTGCTTTCGTTCAAATCAACTGCGTGTCAAGTAAATTACACTACCCGTTCAATAAATGCAAGGGAAAAGATTTAACGGTGGAGGCAAAGGACGTATTTTACTCAGTGGGAACATCATAATTATTCTGTATTAACATCGACTTCCATTACGACTGGTTCCTAGGAAACCAAAAAATATCGATGGACGATGCTCCACCCCCCCCCCCCTTCCCCGAAAGATTGAATGGAATATGAAACATCTGAGACTTGGCATTTATAAATTGTACTTAATTAAAATAAATGGGCAATCCAACCCTGTGGTGGAAATTTGCTTTAAAGGAAAGCAAAACAAATCAGGGGAAAACATTCATAAAAGTTTGAAAAACGATCCGATAAACAAGATCAGATAACAAAACAAAGGCCTTTGCGGGTTGTGAAAACAGCCATTAAATAACCGACCCCTGACTTGGTAATTCTTCTCCCCTGTAATTACCAGTGTCGGAACTCTGACAATACAGTTTTCATGTTATCAACTTGATCAGTTTAGCGAATCATTCATGTATGGACCTCCTCTATTATGAAACGCTTATCTCAGCTGCCTGGACCGGATCCCACAATAAGAGGAACAAACGAATGTAAAGGTGTAACTACTCTGGAAGATTACCGTGTTGAAAGAAGAGGATGTAGGCCCAAACGTAGGTCAAGCTACATGACAATACAAACAACCACTGTTTATGTACCTTTACGAGGGCATGTAACCATTTTAGAGCAGGTTTGAGTTATAGGTATAGCCACGAATATGAGAATTTTCCTGGGCAAATATGCTACCATTGTTAAAGGGGGAAAAAAAGCAAGGCAACATAAAAAAACAAACAAGTTTTCTGGCAATAAAGAAAAGCGAGTGCAAGATGAAGAAATTAATGTCTATTATCATTACTATTCTATTACAATATTGTAAGCATCATCATCGCCATCATCATCATCATCATCATTTCATGTATACATGCCATCTACAGAACTGATCATGAGAAGATTAACAAAGTTTTATTGACAGGATAGGTTGAACGAGAACACAGATGGAGACGAAGACAAATAAATTGAATTCTCACGAGGGATAACCAAAACAAGTCTAGCTGTTCAATGGTTATCCTGATAAATGGGGTTTGTGTGTCATTTTATTCCATAAAATATATCTAGGCAATAGTGGTAAGATTGTAATATGGTAAGGCACACGACAAATGAATATTTCTAATTATGAGAAACAAAGTCGAAAGTATTCAAAGTAAATATTATTTTTGTTTTCGAGAATAAAACAATGTTCATTTCAAAATGCATAAGTTCCCCAAATAGTCCTTTATTTGATTTGCACATTTGAAAGAAAGGGCATTTAGTGTAGATCATGGCATAATGTTGGTCAGAATATAGTTACAAAATGTGTCGAAAACCCGTGTAAAACGAAGGCTTAGGCCTATTATTTATGGCTCGGTTGATAATCGGCCGAGCTTTAGCACACGACAATCATAGACAATGGGGGAATGAATGGAGGTATCGACCGATCTTACGCAATTTGTATCGTGAGTGTATTGAAAAGGAAAGACGTGAAGCTTCAGCAAAATAAGACGGCAATTTCCCTCAAAAAATAACGGACCTTATTTTTCGTATTGATGAACATTACTTATATCTTTAGAAATAAAAAAAAGTCTGAACTTTCATTTTTATATTTACAAAAAGAATCACGAAATTGACTGAATGAGGCGCAATGAAAGTAGAAAGCACCGCCAAATTTTCCATTACTTGCGATCTAACCGAAATCGCTCGAGAACCCCGTATTTCTTTATAGGGGCACATTACGGTGCGGGATCAGTCTAAAGGCCGATATTTTGTTATGCTATTAATATTATGTGCCATTTTTAGATACATGTATTCATATTACCGGACGTCTCGTAGTTTCACGGTTCAGACCTAGTGTTATCCATTACGACTGTCAATTTAAGTTCACGAGATAGGAACCAAACAAATATCAATGGATGATGCTCTTACCCCCCCCCCCCCCCCCCCCCCCCCACCTCCCACCTCCCCACCTCCTTCCCCCGACCACGAAAGATTGGTGGGGATTTGAAAGTTGGATTGATGACTGTATCTTAGGAATGTTGTAATCAACACCCAAGTTCGAACAGACTGCGATATTTATTGTTAAGTCGCCTCTGTTCTGAGAGCGCCGACATGTGGCGGGAATGTCATAATAAACCTGTCATTATTTGAATGTCGTTTTGCGACTGGTCAATGGTGAGGAGCAATTATTTACGATGACAAAAACATTTGTGTATTACAAAATAATCCAACATTTTAGGATTGCAATACCTTTAATCTCTCTCTCTCTCTCTCGATAATAATAAATCCATCTCTATCTCGAATCAACACCGTCTCCTTCTTATCTAATATGAGGCGTCATGTCAATCAACACCAAAGTTTAAAACGCGCGTATATTTGACATTGTTAAGCGCCTTTGTTCTGAGAGCGCCGACATGCTTATGGCGGGAATGTCAAAATCTGTCATTATTGGTATGTGGTTGTTGCGCACGTGTCATGTTGTTGTCCACATGCCATGTTGGCGTGAGATAACATTGTTAAATTATTAGAGCATACGGACTATTTAGATTGGAAATAAGAAATAAGAAATCTTTTTACTTCTCATATATATAAAAAAAAAAAAGACTAAAATCAGATTTCACCACCTCATATGTCAACATTCACCATCTCTTGCATCCTCTTTCTTTCCCTCGTTCTCTCCAATTCCCCTCTCACTCAGTTATCATCTCTCCCCCACTCTCTACTGATCTATATATGACCTTCTCTTTTTTTGTTTTGGAATAAATAAGCACACCCTCTACAGTTTTTATGAAATTCCGTAAAGAAATATGATATAAGTCATATTTTATTTATTATTGAAGAAGAAAAAAAAGAGATAGAATTAAAAAATTAGAGAGGGAAGATGAGGGAGGTGATGAAAAAAAGGGGGGGGTAGGATAGTGTGCGCTAAACAAACATGATACGCAACATATAAGCACAGACCACAAACAAAATTATGTCCGTCTCGGTTTGGGAATAAGATTATTCGAAACAACATACTTCATAGGTTTACATTAAAGCATGTGCTTTCCTTCATGCGCAGACTCGTGGAGGGGGGGGGGGGAGCAACGGGGCCAGGCCGCTTCCTCCCTGGCCACCAAAAAAAGACGGACCGCCCCATCCCTGCCCCCCAAAAAGTTTAAAAATAAGATGGTAACCACAAATATCCACTCTCGCTTTTTATCTATAACAAGGATAACATGATAACGGAATAGGGGCAGTGATGAGAGAGAGAGAGAGAAGCGAAAGCAATTAAATATCGAGATTCTGATATGTCTATTGATCTTTTTGTGGGTACGATGAAAAGGCACGAATGAAGTAGAAAGTTGGATTGATGACTGTATCTTGGAAATGTTGTAATCAACACACAAGTTCCAACAGACCGCGATATTTACGATTGTTACGCCTCTGTTCTGAAAGCGCCGACATGTGGAGGGAATGTCATAATAAATCTGTCATTATTTGAATGTCGTTGTTGCAACCGTGGTCAATGGTGAGGAGCACTTATTTCCGATGACAAAAACATTTGTGTATGACAACATACTGTAATCCAACATTTTAGAATTGTTACAGGCACACAGCCAATTTACACCTGTAATCTCTCTCTCTCTCTCTCGATAATAATAATAAATCCAGATCTCGAATGAACACTGTCTCCTTCTTATCTAAAATGAGGGGTCATGTCAATCAACACCAAAGTTTAAAACACGCGTACATTGTTACGCGTCTATATTCTGAGAGCGCCGACATAGTAGTGGCGGGAATGTCATAATAAATCTGTCATTATTTTATTTATAAATAAGCACACCCTCTACAATTTTATGAAATTCCGTAAGTCGTATTTTATTTATAATTGAAGAAAAAAAAACACACACACACACACACACACAAAAAATCATTATTTATAAGAGAAGGAATTTAAAAAATAGAGAGGGTAGATGAGGTAAGTGATGTAACAAATTAAAAAAAATGATACGCAACATAAGTACAGACCACAAAGAAAATTATGTCTGTCTCGGTTTAGGAATAAGATTATATGAAACAGCATACTTCATAGGTTTTCATTAAAGAATGTGCTTTCCTTCATGCGCAGACTCATGGAGGGGGGGGGGGGCAACGGGGCCAGGCTGCTTCCTCCCTGGCCAAAAAAAAAAAGACGGACCCCCCCCCCCCCCCCCCCCCCCCCATCCCTGCCCCCCAAAAAGTTTTAAAATAAGATGGTACAAATGTAATCACCACAAATATCCACTCTCGCTTTTTATCTAAATGTATCATTTCATTAGTCCTCCGATCTTTCAACACCCACCATCTCTTGCATCCTCTTTCTTCCTCTCATTTTGATCATTCAGATTCATCCGCATTTTCATGCAAAATATTTTCTTCATTTTTTTCTCAATCTTTCTTCTACTCTTTTTACCATCTTTAATGAGGCATCGTGTCAATCAACACCAACGTTTCAAAACACCGCGTATATTTGACACTGTTACGCGCCTTTGTTCTGAGAGCGCCGACTCAGGACATATTTGTGGCGGCCTGGCGGGAATGTCATAATAAATCTGTCTTCATTCTTTCTCAATCTTTCTTCTACTCTTTTCACCATCTTTAATAAGCTGAAGAAAAGGAAGAAAATCAATTACAATATCACCGACGCTTGAGAAATAAATAGTGAGAGAAAGACAGCTAGAAGCGAAAACAATTAAATATCGCTGATGTTACCGGAGTTTATGACAAAAATTAAGCCGTCGGAAAGAAATCAAAGTAAGTCCATTATCACCTGCGCTCGAGAAATGCAAAGAGCGACCGATCGCGGGAGAGACAGAAGCGAAACCAATTAAATATCTGTTGATTTCTATCAATTCTTATGGTGCATTCTATATCGAAACTCTTCCGGCACGCAATATCAAGAAGGTAGTTGCTGCCGATCGATCTCGCCTTTGTTTGGATGGCCTATTCATGGAGCATTCCAGAATGCACCCACAATGCGCCAATTAAGTCGTTAAGTACCGCATTCTAGGTACATTCTAGGTACATTCTGGAATGCGGATTAACAGAACAATAGATTCTGAATAGGGCATTCTACATGCATTCCGAATGCCAGTTGAATAAATCCGTGGCGCCTAAATAAACTATAGGTCCTAATATGGAGAAAAAAACAGCATGAGGAATGGACATTTCTGCATTGGAAGTGTGTCACTCGTTGTAAGTTTCATTTTAATGAATTCCTTTTTCCTGCCATCATGGTTCCTTTTTTGGGTTGCACAAGGTTGGCAGCTCTGCTTTCTTGGTTGGAAGTATGCATTCTAATTTAAATGTCACTTCAATACCGTCTTGATGCCGACTCAATGCAGAGAAATGCAGCAGGAAATTTTGAATGTGTCAACATTTTCTCAGACTTTTACATTTGTGGATCCGTTTCCTATAAACCGCATGGGAAAAGCAGTGTAGCTTTATCGATGTCACTTTGGTTCCGATTCAAATCATGCATTCCCAGATCAAAGTCGGCTCGTTTCTCCAGTTTTCACATCAAAGTGGAAATGCATGGGCTCAACCCATTGGTGTGACCTAGGCATTACATTTCATGTTATCCAAAGGCTTAAACAGTTATAGTAATGTTCTTTTGTGGAAATATAAGACAGAATAAAATCATCAATTGCAAAAAATAGACAGAAAATTTAAGCAGAGAGAGAGAGAGAGAAAGAGAGGGGAGTGGCAGTGAGAGAGAGAGAGAAAAAGGGAGAGAGCAAACTTTCTTTTTCACACACCAAAGCATTAAAATATGTTGATTACCGGCTGCAAGCTGGTGAATTATTACCCTTTGAATCACATCAATATGCACATCATTTACAAAGTACCCAGGACAAGCTGCTTCTAAATATACTTCACACAAAAGCAAAAGTAACTCTTGGAGATTGCCCATTAATACGCTGCTCCAAAGCTTTGGAATACCCTTCGACTAGGCATAAGAAAAGCCTGATATGTTGCTGTCTTCAAAGTTTTGCAGAAGACGCACTTGTTTTTAGGACCTTTTGAAAAGTTGTTTATTGTGTGTCTGTAAAGAAGCACTGTTAGGAGTTTTTATTTAATAAAGTATATTCATATAGTAGCTGTGCTATATAAATTGATCTAATTATTATTTGATTATTATTGTCACTTATTTAGGATCATGATGCTAACATCAGAGTGTACAGAGAAGAACAAGATGATTTAGACAACTCTTCCTGGCAGATGGTCTCACAGTAAGTCTTGTCAGAGCTCATAAATACTCACTTGATTCTTTGCCTTTCATTCTTGCAATATCTATAAATTTTTGTTTGTATGTACAGTGAAACCTGTATATAAAGACCACTCAACGGAAACATGAAAAGTGATCTTTATAATCAGGTGGTCTGTATGTTTAGATTCCTTAAGTACATATTTCAATGAGAAACCTTATTGATGAAATGAAAAATGGGGTCTTTAATAGACAGGTGGTCTTTCTATAAAGGTGGTTGCTAAAGCAGGTTTGACTAAAACAATGACAAAAAAATAAAACTGTTTAAAATTATGCTCCGGTGAAAGTTAAAAAAACTGAAAACCTGTTCCATTGACAATCTGCTTCTTAACATATCGAGAATGAGCTTCTTGAAGAAAATTGATTTTTGTTCACAGGTCTACGATATAGAGTTATACCTGCTTTAGCAACCACCTATTTTTATAAAGACCACATTTCTTTGTTTAACTTGAAATTTCCTTTTCCCACTAAAGAAACCTGCATGTAAAGGCCTCCTGCCCATACAGAGGACCCCTTTTCACATCCCTTGAGTGGTGTTTATAGACAAGTTTCACTAAAGACCTTTATATTAAGAGCACTTATCTAGTCCACCTGGCTTTAGTGGTCTTTATATACAGGTTTCACTGTATAAAGACCTGTCTAGTAACACTTATCTAGTCTCTGTTGAGGGGTCTTTATATACAGGTTTCACTGTAAAGACCTCTATATAAACAACATTTGTCCAGTCTCCCAGGCTTTAGTGGTCTTTATATACAGGTTTCACTGTAATTTGAATATTCTAATTTCCCAGGGACCGAGATGATCTGGCAGGGCTTCTTGCTGTACTGAAGAAAGGCACAAACAAACTCACCTCGTTAGAACTCAAGACAGATGACTCGGAGTCGACCACGACGTCCGTCACCAACGACGAGGACACTGAGCTTGACATCAAGGAAGAAAGTAAGACATCTAGGGGTTTCAAATACTTGAGTGGAGACGCGAAAGTTGTGGGTTCAATCCCCGAAAAGTGACTCGATGTCCTTACACAAAATGTAGGATGCGAAAATCGTTGTAGTTTACTCAGCATTGTGAGTGTCTGTAAAATGGTGCCTGGCTGAAACGCTCCCTACGGAGTGGAGAATGTCCAAGCCTGAATCCGATGACTGGGGTAATAACATTTCTGTAAAGCGCTGAGAAATATTGCATATGTATTGAGGGCTGTATGACCCAGAACATTATTATCATTGCTAATTCTCTAAAGAATACAAATGGGGGACCGACATTTGCTTTGGCAACTTTAGGGTTGTACGAGATTTACTCAAGTGACAGTTTGATCTATGTCAGTTGCTCCATGTCAATTTCGTTCATCAACAGAATTCTTTATTTCAACCCCTTACCTACATAGCAACACTGTACTTAATCATAATCCTTGCCCTTAACTTAAAACTCAATTGCAATCCTGAGCCTTGCCCTGTATCTATGAACAAAGTAAAGCCACCTCTCTGAAATTGTTATGTTGCTATATTGTGTTTTCACTTTTAAAGGTCGTAGCTTTGGATGTGACAGAGAAAAAAATGTTATAACATTAAGGACACAGCACCAAATCTGTCAAAAGTTATTATATCCATGTACTTGTAAGGACAAATGTCATTTAAATTCTTACAAATATACAATCTTTGCACAGTATAATGATATTTAAAAACTCCTTTTACCTTTTGGGCTGGGCTGGGCTGGGCTGGCCAGAAAATATATGTTTTCATGCTAGACTCGGTAACTTTGCCTCAGATTCTGAAACAAAATCCTGGATTTAGCTCATGCTGCAATCATAGTTATAAACCTTTATGTCATTCAGAAACCCCATGACTTTTACAAGCCGATCGCTTGTCTGATTATTAAGATATTTATGATTGGAAAATCGGAATTCAATTTTCACTTTCCTAATGGTTTTTATAATAATACAGTCTATTAGGGGAAAATGAGTATGGTAATACCGGTCACTCAAAGATTTTTTTACTTTTTTGAGGCACTTCATGATCATTTTGAAGCGCAATTCGTTTAGGGCTTCAATATTAAACCATACCACAGACACTGATAACACTTAGGGCCATGCATCTCAGATTTACCTTTGTTAAACGAAGCCTTTAAGCAAGTCTTCTGTATTCTCTTTTACAGTTGCCAAGCTTCGCCTGAAGGTGTCATTCAGGCAAGAAACGGACTCCGAAGGTGTGAAACTTGAAACCACGATGCAGGCTGAAGTGATGAAACCAGAAGGGACTGTGAAATCAGAGACATTAGCAGTGAAAGAGGAGCAAATGGATACCACCGATGGAGAGAAGGAATATATTGATGATAAAGGAGTGAAAGAAGAACCAATGGAATCTTGTGATTTAAAGGAGAATTTGTCTAAACTGAAAACAGAAATGGAAACAGAAAGTTCTGTTCAGAAAGATGACTGTGTTGCTTTGAAATTAGAAGAAGCTACCAAGATCAAATCTGAAGAGGGGATGGTTGACAGGGAAGGTTTGGTTGATGTGAAAAAAGAGGAGTTGGGAGTGAAACAGGAAGTACCACCCTGCAGAAGAGGATCAGTGATTATGAAGGTAGGGGACGGTGTCAAAGGTTACAAGCCGGTTTCAACTCCATCAGGGAGTGAAGCATCAGTCATGAAGGATGATAAAGAGGATGTGGATGTGAAGGCCATTGCAGGAGAGAGCGAGTCTAAGGAATCAAACAAATCAACAGATCCTTCTGAGAAGGTGCTAGAAAGGGCACCTGGTAAAGGCAATAGCAGCAAGGAGGAGAAGGAGAAATCAAAAGACATTGTAAGCGATGAGAGGACAAAAGAAGATCAAGATGGTCAACAGGGTAGACCTGAGGGCCAGCCAACCTCTGTTGTAGTGCCTGAGGAAGTCTCTGAAAGGGCACCCAGACCAGCGTCTGCACCCGAACTGACCGTGACACCGCCTAAGACCCTTGCAGGGGAACCGATGGCTTCCTCATCCACTTCATCTCTGATCCCCAGCCAGGCATCACCAAGGGCCAGAACGCCCACCACTAGCCTGTTCATGAGACCGTGGGAGACTGCACCAGCTCAGCCGGAGAAAGAAACGGAAGAGGTGGAGGGGGAGGGAACGTCAGTTGGAGTAGATTCTGGTCGGAAAGATGGTCAGATGCCAGCACAGTCTAAAGGAGGATTAGAAGGGAAAGGTAGCGTGGCCAAGCAAACGCAATTACAAGAAGATGAAGGATGTAAGGCCATGGAGGCTAAAGACAGTGACTCCCAGAGTATTCCCGAGGTTAGGAAATTGGTGGATGTCCCAAAACCCAAAGAGGACAACCCAGCATTAGAAAAGTCAGTTCAAGAAAAAGAGGCTACAGAAAAGGAGGAAGACAGATCAGCCAGAGCAGAACCCTTGGAAAATACAAACATGTCGGTTACACAAGAGAAAGGACAGGAAACAGAAGTCAAAGATGTTGTGAATAAGAACGAAGTGTCAAAAGATAAATCAGGGCCCGATAGGGACGCCAAAGTAGGCAAAGGTGTTGACTTGCAAGAGGAGGATTCCAAGAAGAGTCCTGCTGAAGCAGGTGTGGAGAGATCAGAAGGTGAAGGATCAAGGAAAAGGGATGGTATGAAAGAGAAGGAGAAGAGGAAAGAAGCAGAGGAGGAAGATGGTAAAGTTGCCACGAGTGAAGAAGATGAGGATCTCTTGAAGGGAGACGGTAAGGTGTCGGGTGTAGAGCAGCATGATGAGAGTGATGGAAAGACCAAGTGCGCAGAAGAAACTGATCCAAAAGACCAATCAGACGGGAAGGAGAAGACTAGAGAGGAGAAGGAGGAAGGTTCCAAAGTGGAGGAGGACGTGACAGCAGACAGGCCCGCATCAAAGGAGATGGAAGAGCTGAGTGAAGAAGGAGCAAAGAGGGAAACGGAGAGCACTGAGAAGAGAGATGAAGAAGAAAAGGAGGATGTTACAAAGAAGGATGACGGTGTTGAGAAGGACAAAACAGAAGCGGAGGAAGCCGTCCGGCCTCTGCGTAAAGGGTCTCGTCCTCTCAGACCAAGAAGAGGCAAACAACAGGAGGAGCAACCGGCGGAGACGAAGAAACCCAAACCAGCCCCAAAGAAAAGAGGAAGACCAAAAAAGAAAGTTGAAGTTTCAAGTCAAGATGAGAAGACAAGCCAGGATGAAGGTTTTAGCCAGGAGGATGAGGAAGAGAAGGAAAGCAAAAAGAAAAGCATTTCCAAAGAACTAATGGAAGATGAGGAAGAAGACGAAGAGGACGATGAGGAAGAAGAAGAAGAAAGTGATGACGATGACAACGACGATGACTACGGAAGGAAGAAAATTCAAAAAAAGAAAGGGGTGCGTACGGCGAAGAAGAAACGCAAGAAGAAAAGACTACGGTACACTCCCAAGAGGAAAGCGTCGCAGAAAGCCGTCAATAAGATAGTTGAAATGGAGAAAGATGAGGACGAATTACCAGCGAAGAGCAGTTATGCAGGAAAGAACAAACTGAAGAAGGCTGATGATAGTGACTGGATCTCTGAAGAGAATGATGACACCCCCTGCTGTAAATGTGGACTGTACAACCATCCCCGATGGGTAATTATTAATATCATACCACCCATTGATTTTTCGTTATTATAATTCATTGACTTAGATTGTTAATCTATCATTAGGTATATTTTATTTTACGAAAAGGACCCCGTCTTACAAAGAGTGACGATTGATGCAAATCAATCCCAAGTCCTCCAATTAATCGCAAGTTTGCAGTCTCTTATCTCTTTTGTACATTGATATCAACTCTTTGTCAGACGGGGCCCTTGTCTCTTGAGGTAATTTTGAAGGCCGTTATTTAGAAAATTCAAAATGATTTGCTTGACTTTAATACTGCAGACCTATTAAGTCACTTTGGCATCGTTTCACAAACCCATTATAAGTACAAGTTTGCCAACATGCCATCAAAAAGCGGGTCAATGTTACTACATGTGTTTTAATAGCTTGTTGGCCATCTATACACTTATGAATGTGTATGAAACAATGCCCCTGTAAATGCATATTTAATAATTATCAGAGAATTTTATGAAATGTCCTTCAACAACCAACATGGCCAGTAAAGAAATCAAATGGAATTGTCATTCAATATCTTTTTTTTCATTCAATTTCATTTATTCAATCCAAGATTCTCTTGTGTGATAAATGCGACTCTGGTTTTCATACGGCTTGCCTACGACCACCGCTAATGGCCATCCCAGACGGCAACTGGTTCTGCCCAAAGTGTGAACATGTGAGTACAAGACTGACCCATAGTATAGACAAGGGGAGGGGGAAGGGAGGGGGAAGGGAAAGGGGAAGGGGAGAAGGACTCTGTTTTCATATGGTTTGTCTACGACCACCGCTCATGGCTATCCCAGACGGCAACTGGTTCTGCCCAAAGTGTGAACATGTGAGTACAAAAATGACCCATTGCATAGAACAAGAGGGAGGGGGAAGGGAGGGGGAAAGGAAGAGTTATGTTAGGCTTGTCAGGTTTGTTTTCTCTGTGGTAAATTTTGTCTCTGGTAGCATTCATGTGGGAGCATGGTTTACTGGTTTATATAGTTTCATTCAAGTTTCCATCTTAGTCATATTATTATGAGGAGGAGGAGGGGGTGGAGGAAGAGGAGGAAGAAGATGACGATGATGATGAAGATTATAAGGATAAGAATGATGAGGAGGAGGGGAAGGAGGAGGATGAGAAGGGGAAGGAGGGTGGTGTTTCCAGTGAAACGGAAGGGACATGCTTACACTCAGTGAGGTTTAAATCATAGGTCTGGGATAGATCAAAACCCAAGATCTCATGATCTTTGATTCAACCGGCAGATGCTCTACCGACTTAGAAAATTGCCTCCACTCCCTATACTCTATTTTCATCCATTCTATCCATGAAATACACATTGTTTGTTGATTGAGAAGAAAAATCATTCTTTATTCTGTTCTGTTCACTCTGCAGGAGGAACTGATAGTCAATCTGCAAGCAAAGCTGGAAGATCTCGATGGTGACCTCAAAAAGAAGGACAGACTAGCTAGAAGGTAAAAGAAGTTTTGATGAAAATGAGCCCAATTTGTCTAATTAGCATAGAGTTCATGTATCCTTTTTTAGAGAGGTGACTTGAAAGCCTTACACAGTGATGGCAAGACTGACATTGTTAAGAAAATGGATTGTGATCATGTGAACAAGTCCAGTGAACTGTTGCAAAAAAAATCTCACAACAAATTTTGTTGAATAGATATATTTCTAATAAGCTGCAAAAGCTACATATATACATATTAAAGGCATCGTTTAACAATGTTTAATCTGAGATGCATGGCCCTACGTGTTATCAGTGTCTGTGATATGGTGTAATATTGAAACCATTAGAAAATGGTGCTTCACAATGATCATGAAGTGCCTTAAAAAAGTATAAAAAATCTTTGAGTGAACGGTTTTACCATACTCATTTTCCTCAGTAGACTGTAGTGTAATAAAAACTGTTAGGAAAACAAAAAATGAAATTTAGATTTCCAATCATAAATATCTTGATAATCAGACAGGTGATCTGCTTGTAAAAGTCATGGGATTCCTGACTGACCTTAAGGTTTATAATTATGATTGCAGCATGAGCTAAATCCAGGATTTTGTTTCAGAATCTGAGGCAATGTTACCCAGTCACTTTGAGCGCAGGCGAGCCCAAACTAGCCATGTAGTTGCCCCTTTGAATAATGTTATGTTTTATCATTTTAAAAGCTATTGCTATTATCTAGCTCATATATATTTGTTCCTGAAGCTGATATTATTATTATTATAATTATTATGATGCCTGTTTATTTCCTGCCCTTTAATCATCATTTGTTCTCTTGCTTTTATATTTCACCTGCAGGGATGAAAGAAAGCTGAAATATAAATACACTGATGTGTGTGCCGTCAATATATTGCCAGAGGTATGTATTAAAGGATGTTAAATCTGAGATGCACGGCCCTACGTGTTATCAGTGTCTGTCATATGGTGTAATATTGAAGCCTTAAACAAATCACGCTTCAAAATGATCAAGAAGTGCCTCAAAAAAGTAAAAATCTTTGAGTGACCGGTTTTACCATACTCGTTTTCTCCAATAGACTGTCATGTTATGAAAACCGTTTGACAAACGGTTTTCAAATTTGTAATTCCAATCCTAAATATTTTGATAATCAGACAAGACGATCGGCTTGTAAAAGTCATGGGGTTCCTGACTGACCTAAAGGTTTATAATTATGATTGCAGCATGAGCTAAATCCAGGATTTTTTTTCAGAATCTGAGACAAAGTTTACCGGATCCCTTTAAAGGGCAGTCCAACCCTTGTAATGAGTTGATTTGTATGAGAGCAAAAAAATAACAAACAGAATGGCAACAGTTTGAAATGAATCGGATCAATATTAAGGAAGTTATGAATGTTTGAAATATGAGATCACTAAGTCCATGCGAATCTCAAATTGGTAGTTCGGTCGATGGATTGTGATGCAGGACGTGGATAACTCTCCCATTTGCATGTACAAAAATATCATTAATTTCTGTTCTTCCTCCCTTGGGGCACTACTCAAAATATATCATAGATAGCAAAATTATTATAGGTCCTCTAAAAAGAATAGACCATCCTGAGCAATAAATATTTGTATTTTTTAAATTTTAGTCATTATATATGTTGGAACTGTTAAGTACTACATCACTTTTTTTTTATTTGATTTGATTTCTGCATTTTTTCCAAATATAATATAACTGAATAACAAAGAACATATAAATGTAAGGTATAATTCAACATATAAATTCTTCATGTCAAAATGTTTTTTTTTACATAATATATGTACATATAATAAGAAACTTAATATTTCCATAACATATCATGAATTTAAAGTATTATCCAAACTATTCTGTTGGAAAAGTGCAGGAGACCGCAATCGTAAGCAAAGCTTGACAAGGATGGCGGCCTCAATCTTCCCGCCTCGCTCAGTACAACAAAATTGACATTGACATTACTGCTTCAGCCAATTTAAAGTGCCCATAGGTACAGTGATAACAACTTTCAAAAATTCATAACTTTCTTATGATTAGACAATTATCCCTAGTTTAGGCCCTAGTCTCATTGTACATAACTAGCTTATACTTGATTTTGTATATGTAATCTCTTGCAACAGGACACAACGGTAGTCGAAAAGAAGAAGCGATCACGGCGCAATGATTATGAAGAAGAAGAAGACGAAGAGGAGGAGGTTGAATACGAGGATCAACGCAACCACAGATCCCACAGCTCGCGATCACGTCGATCACAGGGTTCGCGGTCGCGCCGATCACAGGGCTCACGCCGTCGACGATCGCGAAGCTCACGACATCATCGAGATCGGCGAAGTAGACCTCGCCGATCTCAGAGAGACTTTGTGGTGCCCGATTTCGAAGACGATTACGAGGTCGTGAGTCGGAGGTCGCAGAGGTCGCGTAAGACCATTGATTACAGCTTCAATGACTTTGACTCAGCTATCAAGACGGCCATCAATGACGAGGTGGAGGAGCATAAAAAAGGTTAGATTCTCGATTTTCAACAAAATTATTGGGTCTTGGATGGAAATAATAGAGTACCGAAGCTGTGACATCATAAAAATCTATTTTTAGAATTTCTCAATTTTTACTTAATTTTCCGAAAGAGCATCAAAAATAATGTCCGAATGTCGAAAATCGATTTAATACCGGTAAGGTAAGTATTGGCTGAGATATGACGATCTGAATAAATAGATTTCCTATAGGAACTCAGTGTTATATTGCTCTGGCTCTGGCTCGTTATGTTATTAACCAGAGCAAAATAACACTCAGTTCCTATAGGAAATTTATTTATTCAGATGGTCATATCTCAGCCAATACTCAACATATTCAATTTATTTTTGACTTTTGGACATTATTTTGTATGCTCTTTCTGAAAATGAAGTAAAAATTGTGAAATTCTAGAAACAATTTTTTGATGACGTCACACTTCATCACTCTATTAAGGTTCTAATATAACAAAATGGATTGTACCATCTTGATCAATTTATTATGATATCACTGGTCTGAACAGTTCACTTGCTATTGTTAGTGTTAGCAATTTGTACCAGGACTTAGGCAATGCATTCTATTTATATCTTCCTTTCTTAACAAAAAAATTGAGAAAAAAACCCTTGTGTTGTATGGGGAATTTCACGTAGTGTAATATTACAAATAGGAGATGCAAAACTAGGTTTGGTTTAAACCTAGGTAGTGAATCATGGCACACTAGTTCACAGCACTGCACAAAAGTATAGAAATAATCTACTGGTACCCAGAAGGCTGTACAAGCACTGGAAGAAGAACTGTATGTCATTATCACTAACCACCATTACTCCTATGATTGTCATCATCATCATTGACACCATCAATCATCACTATCATCATCATCAATATCATCATCACCACCATCATCATCATCACCATCATCATCATCACCATCATCATCATCATCACCATCATCATCAATATCATCATCACCACCATCATCATCATCACCATCATCATCATCACCATCATCATCATCATCTTCATCATCAATTATCATCATCAACAACACCATCGACATCATCATCATCAAAATCACTATCATCACAATCACTACCACTACCGTAATCATCATCACCATTATCATCGTCACTAACACAATCATCACCATTATCACCATCATCATCACCATCATCATCATCATCATCACCACCACCACCACAATCATCACCATCACCATCATCATCATCTTCATCATCAATTATCATCATCATCAACATTATCACAATCACTACCATCATCATCATCTTCACAATCACTACCACAATCACTACCACTACCATCATCACTGCCGTCACTACTATCTCTCTGTTTTCTTCTCCTAGCAGCGGTGGACCAAATCAAGTCCCGCTGGGGGGTGAGTCGAGGGAAGGACATGTCAACCATCATGGGAGACGAAGTTGACGAGGAGGAGGAGCAGGAGGGGGAGGAGACGGGGGAGAAGAGAGCCGAGGAGGTGGACGGAGAAGCTGAAGAGGGGAAGAGGCGGGACAGGAAAGGGAAGAAGAAGAGACGGCTCAACGATCTGGACGGGTCTAGCGAGGACGAGAACAGTGAAGACTTCAAGGTGGACAGGTAAAGGCATAACTCAACTTCCTTGAAAATAGATCATTCATATGATAATATGAATGAACTCTTCCTCAGCCCAAAGGAATCCCTCACATCCGGCTCCAGCGAGACTTGGCCTTCCTGGCTAAGCCTCAACCGCCTAAGAACTGGCTATGGACAATGCAGAGTCCTAATGCAGAGATGGGGTCTAGGAGACGAACAAACGGCTTGTGAATGCAGCCAGGAACAGACAATGGAACACCTGCTAGTCTGCCCACTCCTGGCAGAGCCATGTACCCGAGATGACCTGGAAGCCGTGAATTGCAGTGCCAAAGCCTGTGTGGACCACTGGACGGGACTTGTGTAGTGACTCGATAAGAAGATATGATAATAATGTTAATAATGATAATGAAGGCTTCTTATTACAGAGTACCAAAAAAAAAGTGACTCATATTTTTCCAATAATGGGGGACCAATGTCAGTGGTACTAGTAGATGGGGAATATTTGTACACAAAAAAAATGATACCAAATTTGCCGAAATAGGTTGAGTATTGCTTTTTCTGGAATTTTTGTGATTCAATGTTGAAGACATTCACTAACACTGCTCCTCACAATAAAAACATTTCGTTGTGTATTTTCAGAGATGGTATTAGCATAAGCATTGGGCAAGCAGTAATAAACGCAAGATTAAACACAACATAACATTCCACACACATTTTGTTTTTTTCCTTGACAAGAGTAGTCGGCCTTTATCAAAAAATTAGTTTTTGGTGTTGCCTGATCATCTTTTATGGCTGTCTTAATGAAAACCCGAAAGAGAAAAACAGAAATGAGACAAGAGAAAAGCAAGATTGAGTGTAGGAATGCATTACCCGTCGCTATCAGACTTCTCAACTTCACTTCCCTTCCTCACCTTATCTTCCCTTCCGCAGTGAGAATGAGAGTGAGTCGGCTGAAGATGGCAGTAATTTCTCTGAAGCGAGTGAGGACAGCTTCTTGACATCGAGACGTCGCGCATCAAGACGAAAGGCACCCTCGAAGAGGAGCCTTCGCTACGCTGGCATGCCGCGAAGAAAGAGTGAGAGGGGGAGGAAGAGGGTGAGATACTACAGCTCAGCGGAAGATGATGAAGGCAGCTATTACTCCGGAAGCTCAGGTGGCAGTTACACCGGTAAGTATTGGGAATAGAATGACGATTATTGTGGGAGAACCACAATGATATTGTATCAATGGAAAGCTGAATGAATGTAGTATAATTGATATTATTGTATTCTATGGCTTATAAGCTTTCCGTTCATATAATTCATCCATTTCATTTATCACTTCCAACAGGAAATCAAGAACAAAGCATCAACAGATCTTAGAACAATCTAAGATAATAGTTGCCATGTTTCACTTTAATTTCCTTATTGCTATCATTAAAGATAAACTTGAGTTCTTGTTAAAAAAAAGAATTCTCACAGAATCAAACAAAACTTACACGGAATGTTCAAGATTACAAATAAATGTCATTTGCCAAACAATTTTGGTAGAAAATGTATACTGGCTGAGTAATGAGCATAGAAAGGAAAGGAAATCAAGGTAAGTAGGCCTGGCACCATTTGTGTAGTCCCATATACATCTTTCTGTGTACAGTGCTTGTTACTTTACCAAGACTGGGCCAAATTTATTATGATTTGGATGAACCTTGCAGTACACACCAATACTTACATGCTACATGATCAATTTTTCTGATCCATTCCACACCTTTTCTTTCACAATTCAATCGCATGACCAGAACTCAACTTTATCTTTAATGTTTATTATCTTTAACAGGGAGTGATTCTGAGGATGATGAGGGGACCTCTGGAGGAAGACGGAAAGCCGCGGCCAAGGTCATCTCCTACAGAGAATACTCCGACAGCGACGAGGGGAGATTGAAGAAGAGGAAGCAGGCGGCCAGGACCCCGACGCCTTCTCCGTCGTCATCTTCCGAGGTCGAGGATTACACCCAACGAAAAAGGAAATTCCGCATCGATAGTGATGAGGAGGAGGAGGAGGAGGAGGAGGGAGAGGAGAAGACAAAATCGAAGAGAAGGATTGAAAGTGACAGTGAGGATAGTGATATTGGAAGGAGGAAAAAGAAGAAGAATAGCATCGATCTCCAGCGATCTTCTCTGCGGAAGCTATCCACAAGGATCGACTATAAGAAAATGGCGGGGGAGAGCACAGAATCGGACGAAAATGATAGTAAGAGTGAACGGGATCAGGACTCAAACAAGGAGAATGAGGATGAATCTGGCGACGAAAGCAGTGATGAGGCTGTTAGCCAGAAAGTGAGGACTACCAAACAACTCCCCCATTCGCAAATGGGACAATCTTACATTCCAACCACTGTCAATGGGGGTGCTAGTACAGGAGGCCTTCACGACGGGGCTGCTTCACCGGGGGAGAGGGATGCTCATGGTGGCGCAATCGGAGGGACTGTAAATGGAGAAGGCGAGGAGGAGGACGACCTTTTACAGGTCACCGACCTGATCGACTATGTGACACAAGACATTTAAGGTCAAAGGTGAAAGACTGATCTTTCTATCTGTGAGGAATTATCTGTATATAGGTATTTTGCGGGATATATTAATGTAATTTTGTTTTGTGTTTTATGTCAGATTGTAATTACGTTGTCTGTCAATCATGTTAGCTTTTAATCGTGAAACAAAATTGCCTCAGATAATAGAAGATGCAAAAAACGATACTGCCAAATAATGGTCTTCAATCATTTAAACACTGATATAATCTTAGTCTGTCTTGTATCTGAATTGCCAAAGTATTGTAAATCACTACTAAATTTCATTGGTCAACAGTAATCCTGATGCATATTATCTGACCGGCTCACAGCCAAGCATTTGATTAGGATGCATCTATCCATTTTTATAATAGTTCCGAACAAACTACTGTTAAATCATCATGCACATTCAAATCAACAAATCATGTGTAAATGCAAAACGAAAAAGTAAAAGAAATGTACTTTTCCATTTGTGATAGATGATATATTCCTTGCCTACATTTGAGTACATGAATGGTTTAAATAGCATTACAATTTTTTAATGAAAATTAAAGCCTCCATATATGCTTCTAAATTGTATTATGGTTTAATAATTAGTCATGAAAAAAGTTGTGATTAATGGTCGGTCTGCCATGTGCTTTCTGATCATCTTCTTTTGTTGGAGCTATTAGGACATTAAATTGTTATAAGTATTATTAAGGTGATAGATTTTGTTTAATGGTTTGTTTTACCTGACTGCTAAGAAAACGTGAAAACTCTTGTAAATAAGCAACCAGAGGACCGCTGGCTGTAAGTCCTCTGTGAGGGACTTGGTAATGAGGATTAATGCCTTACCAAAGGGCACTAGCGCAATAGTTGGTTTCGACAACTCATCTAACATTGAGCCATGGTGCATCCCAGTATGATAATGAAGAGAAGTTTTAAATATTCATTGTTGAAACAGACTTTCTTTTTGTTTTATTTATAGCAGTGCTTTCAACCACGCAAGTATATGTACAGCTCATTGATGGTTAAAAATGTGAGAAATCTCTTGAATAAATGCTGCAGATCTTTGCATCTAGAAATGTAGATTAGATGTGCTTCCATCCCTTGAATAGGATGTAAAAAATGAAGGTCCTCTGTGTGTAATGATGAGTCAAACCCATACTCTATGCATTAATTAGTAATGATTGAATATCGTTGTAGAAGCCTAGCCTTGTCAATATTTGTTTTTCTTGCAATGCGCATCTCTATGGGTCTCTGTTACATACAATCTAATTGCAGTAATTAAAGGTTTAACAATGAGCTACCACTTCTACAATACTGCTTGAACAAATACTTTTATGGCTTATGGGTCTCTTTTACATAAAATCTAGTAGCAGTATTTAAAGGGAATGAGCTACAATGTACCGGTACTACATTTCTACACTATTGCATTTAAACTATTACCGGTACTGGTACTTTTCTGTCCAGATATGTCAAGGGATGACGGGCACAGACATTTTTTCAGCAAGTTTGTATTTTTGCGATAGTTAACACAGGTTATTTGCAATATTTGATAACACGTAGAAACATATGCATGGATCATGTACAACTTAGAACCTTTCAATACAGCACGTTTTTCTTGTAACATGCATCTCCATGATTCTGATACGAAAAATGAAAATGTTCTGCTGTATCAAAAAGGGTAACTGTGAGCTACGCAATTTCTTTAATACTGTAGATGTGCTGTGGTGTAGTGGATAAGTCACCTAACTGTAGATCAGAAGATATGGGGTTCGCTCAGCACTGGTGTTCGTTGGCAAGACTTTAAGCTCATTTGGGTAACCTTTAATTTCTGATTCGTCTTGGTACCTGCTTTCCTTGCCCATCCATTGTTCATTACTTATAATGTACAAGCTTTTGTATCAAGATCACAAAGAATTTTTGTTTAAATCAACCTACAGCTAATGTCATTTCAATAGTGTTGTTCATTACCTTTTGTAACGTGGGCACATGTACAAGGTTTTTGTAACAGATCGCAAAAATTGATTGAGGTCCATGACCTCCTGTTAGATATAAACATGACAATGATATGTTATTTGAGGTGGTTTTATTCATTAAAGGCACACTGTCCTACTTGTAGCTACTTGCTCCCTCTATATAGAAAACTTCCCCAATCGGTGCCTGTTGGTCCCCCATGATCCTCTTTTTCTTATGTTAAATGAGTGCTGAGTTAATGAGATAGCCACCTGTCACAGTGACCTCGTTGGCTCGCTGTGTGGTCTAATCCCTTCTAGCTGCAGTAGTAACGCCTACCTTTAATAAGCATTCATTCAAAATAGCAGCCAAAGGCTGAAACAAATTGGATTCACAAAAGATTAAAAACTACATTAAAATGCAATACATTGTAATTGGTTAAATAAGATACACAAATATGCACAGTAATATGCATATAAACAATAACGTTGCACAAATTAAAGTCATCAAGGAAATGGAAAAAGACAGAAATGAAAAGGACAGACGAAGAAACAGGTTGAAATGAAGAAGAGGGAGAAAAGGCATGCTTGGATAAACATAAACAACTGTTTTGTAATCATAACATGATATTCATAGGCCAATTTTGATACAATCGGGTTTTGAATTTGCTCTTGAGTTGAGTTCTTGAGAGCCTTTGTGATCGTGCTGTGCAGAAAAAAGGCAATTTTTATAAGAAATACACCCTTTCACATCTGTATTTAATTGATGTATCTCTTCCATATGTTTGGCGGTTTACTTTTGATAATGGGTCAAACGCCTAAATAGAAAGAGCCAGATGAGAATGCAGGTCATGTGCATTGCATGTTGCTGTGGTATTCTCTCATCAAGATGATCGGTTTAAGCAGAAGCACACGATTATCATTTGTTATTGTATGATCGCATTTTGGGTTCGATAGTGTCAATTATCCCATTAGGATGTTTGTTTTGATTAAGCCTTTAAATCAACTTTCTGAGAACCAACAGGAAAACGCTCCTTCCTGTTATATTGGAATAAAGGCCACAACAATGGAAGGAATGTAGTTAATTTAGGAGTTCCTTTACATGCAAAGTCGAAAAGGGCAATAACTTGGTGTTAAGATCAAATGTGGTAACAAGATCACGTAGTGTTATTGCTTTAGCTACCCGTTAAATCTATTTCGAAAGATGAAGCGTAAGATTTGCACCTTAGGACATCTGCCCCCTGGTTCGGTGCAAACAGAAAGTGGTGTAGAAATATACATGTAATGTATACCCAGGCAGTATCTCATGAAATCATCAAAAGTACAAGTTAATAAAATTTCAACTGAAACGCTAGAGGTGTCGTAGTCCAATAGTTTGAATCACTTGACTGGAAATGCTAGGGACATTGGTTCAAACCCCGGCAGGCAGTTATATCCTTGCTTCTCTCTACCCAGGTGTTAAATGGGTACCTGGTAGGATGCGTATGTCATTTTGGTTGGATTAGCATGTTAAAGGTGACTAGCTGGAATGCTCCCCAGGGAGTGGAGAGCGTTCACTATAATGTGCAGCATAGTAATTGAATCCAGTGATGGAGGTAATAATATACTGTACTGACTTTTGTCACGTCATGTGAAAATGCTTTAAGAAACAGGTATTGTTATTATCAAAATGCATGTTTAAAGTCGAGACACATTTCTATGGGATGTCGAAGAACTTGAACTTTTGATGGTTTCATGAAACAGTGCAAGGGAAACAGAAATAGAAAGTAAGTAATCAAGTCTTCGTGATGGAAAGTCCATTTTGTCAGCCAAGGTACATGTTCCCTAGTGTTGAAGGTGCATTGCAATAGCAAATGAAACAAACGAACAAGTGTATTGGAAAAGAAACACTCTATGAGATACATATTGGTAGAAAACCTTTTAAGTTTTCCCTACTTGTCATCCAGTTATGAAAACTTGTCATCCATAGTTTTGAAAACTTAGATGATCAAGATTTAGATTTGGGTTTTGTTGCTTTGGATCTCATGTTATACATCCTCACTGTTTAATTTTGATTTTATATTTTAAATTTCTTGTTGAATTGTTTCTTGAATCAAGATCAGCTATTATATTGCATTCCTGTATTTTGTTATTTTGTTTTGTTTTATTAAGTTTCCTTTCGTCATCCCATTTATGCATTGTATTCTCTCCTAATTATTATTATTTTTTTAATAGAGTCTTATTTTCACCAAAATTGGTAATGTACATTTATATCCTCAATGATTGTATTTTTCAATTTCAAATTGATTTTGAAATAAGTAGCATATTGACCTTATTTAGGTGAAAGATTTGCAACTCAAAGTATTGGCTGTGCATTGTTCATGCATCTAGCAGGCTTTTTATTGATGTTGTTTTAAGGGGAAATCCAACCAAAGTGTATTTGCATGAAAACAGACAAAAAGAGAAACAGAAAGGTGAAAGTTTGAATTAAATTGGACAAATGATAGGAGAGATATAAATGTTTGAAATATGAGATCCCAAAACGTATGCGAATCTCAGATTGGCAGTTGGTCAGTAGATTGTGACTTAAACATGGACAACTCAACTGAGAGCTGTGGTTTTTATTGAAGATAATTTCCATTAAGTTTTTGTGAGTTTGTTTTTATTTTAATGGTTCAAACAATTGATCTACTGCAGGATAAACGATCCAGAATGAATTATAGCCATGTTCTCTCTCCACATACGATTCCCATACCAGAACTCAAGATTAGCTTTAAAAGATTCATATCTTTCGTATTGTTTGTGAACTTTCGTTCAGAGTTTCACCTGTCTGCTTCTCTGTCCTTCGACCTTCTGTAAGTCTAAGAGCAGTTCTCTATAAAGGTTGGATTTTACTTTAATTGTGATTTATTTTCACTCTTTGATGTACATATTGTAAATGAACCAGCTTTGTACAAAAAATTGCAGTAAAACGTGGCTTTCATTTTTGTTCTGAGAAACAAAATGACTAGTGAAAGGAGCCATTAAAATGTACATGTATTATGTATATTTATGCATTCAAAATTATTGTTGTCTGTGTCGTTTGTGGTACTTAAGTATTTTTCTTCTACGTGTGTGTAGTAGTATTAGTAACCATACCATGTTTCTGAAAGGATGGTATTTCATCTCCCCATCATTCTCTCTCTCTCTCTCTCTCCCTAGGTCCTTCTGCTATTTACGTCTGTCCATCTTCCCTCTCTCCCTACTCTCTCCTTCTCTATCTCTGTCTCTCTCACTTTCTCTGTCTCTCTCAGTCTTTTACACTTTTAGCCCAATATGTCTCACTCTGTTCTTCCCTCCCTACGTTAAATCCACTATATTTCCCTTTTCTCTCTCTCTCTCTCTCTCTCTCTCTCTGTATGCTCCCTTTTTAAAATAACTTATTTGTATGCTCCAATTTATCTTGGTTAATATATTCTAATCTGTCTATCAGTCTATCTCTCTACCATTCTAATTGTCTATTAGTTCGTCTGTCGATCTGTTCATCCACTACTTACCTTAATCGTGACTGAAGGCAACATGAAAATTGTCCTGTATTGAATCGAAACAATTAATAAATTCATCTGCAAGAACTAATTAGTGTAGGAATACAAACCCTCACGCCATTTACGGTCATCTTCACAATTAAACCTCGTGTCTACTTCGGTGTCAACTCTGTCTTAAAGTCATCCCTTTTTTTTTGCAAAGCTTCTGCTGAACTTTGG